TTCCTCTCTTCCGACACTTCCCTCTTCAGTCGTTTCTCCTCACTCGGAGCCTCCTCTGTCTTTTCCAACTCCTTCCCCTCCCTTAGGTTCCTCTCATGTTCCTTCTCATCATCCTATGGTTACTCGGGCTAGGGATGGCACTCGTAAACCCAAGGTGATTTTCAATTTAGCTAGTACTATTGCTGACTCTCCTTTGCAGGTTCCCACCACATATCGCGAGGCTTGTAAGTTTGATGAATGGCAATAAGCAATGAATGATGAGATTGCTGCTTTGTCTCGCAACAATACTTGGACTCTTGTTTCTAAACCTCCTGATGTTAATGTGGTTGGCTCGAAATAGGTGTTTCGGGTTAAAGAAAAGTCTGATGGCTCCTTGGATCGCTACAAAGCTCGTCTTTTTGCTCAGGGATTTTCTCAGCGTCCTGGTATTGATGTTAGTGATACTTACAGTCCCGTGGTTCGCCTTGCCACCATTCGGACTGTCCTCTCTTTGGCTCTTTCACGTAACTGGCCTATTCATCAGCTTGATGTCAAAAATGCATTTCTACATGGCCTCTTGACTGAGCCTGTCTACATGAAACAACCACCCGGCTTTGTTCATCATCAGCATCCGGACTATATGTGTAAGCTCAATCGTGCTCTTTATGGTCTCAAGTAAGCACCTCGTTCCTGGTTTCACCGGTTTGCTTCCTATATTGCTTCACACGGTTTCTGTTCTTTCAAGTCCGACTCATCTATGTTTATTTATCACTGGTACAGATATTGCTATTCATTTATTATATGTTGATGATATTATTCTTACTGCCTCTTTTTCTCCCTTGTTAGCATCCATTATTGCTACTTTACGGAACAAATTCGCTATGATTGACTTGGGTGATCTACACTACTTTCTTGGTATCTCTGCTACCCGTACTTCTGATGGTCTATTTTGTTCCCAATCCAAGTATATAGCCAATTTATTAGATCGCTGTCAGCTTTCTTCGGCGAATTTGTCCCATACACCTATTGACAGTAAGAGTAAGTTGTCTCAGACTGATGGTGACTTGTTTCCTGATCCTTATGAGTACTGCAGCATTGTTAGAGCTCTTCAGTATATCACTTTTACTCGTCCTGACATTGCTTATGCGGTACAACAAGTTTGTCTTTTCATGCACGAGTCTCGTGAACCTCATTATAAGGCCGTCAAGCGTATTCTTCGCTACTTGAAGGGTACTCTTCACTATGGTCTCACTCTCCAGCCTACTTCTGACGCAAACTGGGCTGGTTGTTCTAATACTCGACGTTCCACGTCTGGCTACTGTGTCTTTCTGGGTGCTAATCTTGTTTCCTGGTCCTCTAAACGGCAACCTATTGTTTCTCGTTCGATCTTGAGGTGAGTATCAGGTGTTGCCAATCAGTTGCTTGAGCTTTACTGGTTGCATTCCTTACTCTCCGAGTTGTCTCTTTCTCTATCCACCGCCACGGTTGTTTTCTGTGATAATGTTAGTGCTATTTTCATGTCCACTAACCTTGTTCAGAATCTCCGCACGAAGCATGTCGATATTGACATTCATTTTGTCCGCGAGAAGGTGGCCAGGGTGATATCCGTGTTCTTCATGTACCCTCTTCTTGTCAGTTTGCTGATATCATGATGAAAGGCTTACCTCATGTTTTATTTACAGATTTTCGTACCAATCTGAATGTTCGATTACCTCCCGTTCAGATTGTGGGGGGATGTTAGTGTATGTATATATTAGGGTTAGTGTAGGGGTATTGTTGTAATCCTAATGTAACCATGTACACTATATATATGTTAAATCAATACAGAATGACCTAAGGGTTTCACACATCTTCAAGATCCAGGGTTCGAATCTCGCTATAGACATGGAGCAATATGAAATCCTTTAGTCAGCTTTCTCATCCATTGAGATCTCTATCATGAGCGAGGGAGATTAGTCATTGTTGACGACGTTGAACACCCTATTATATGAGAAAAAAATAAAAAAAAATATGATTTAGATTTCTTCCAACGCATTCCGTCAGAAATGAGGGGCCTCGTTCTAACCATGTGACTACATTATACTGTTGTATTAGTTTGATTAGGGTTTCTCCCAGAGATCATAAAGAAATGGAAGCATCATTGCTGACATGTAAAAAACGAAAACTATTATTATATTTTACATAAATGGAAACATATTAGGAAATGGCTTTATTGAAGTTTGAATACAGAAATCAATCATGAAAAGGAGGTGATGTTACGTAATAAGAATTTAAAAGGCTGGAGAACGATGGATCAATGGTGTAATGTATATGTATAGAAGAAGCATAAATATACATATTGCAATGAATGAGGGGAATTACATAATACACGTGCAAACACCCAAAGGAGAAGGAGAGATGATTTTCCAGATGCTGGGGCTGTGGACTCTGACATCTCACCTGCCTTTCTCTTCTAATGTTAATGGAAATATTGAGCCCCTCGTAATAATAATGATTATAATTTTCATGATACTTACTAATAATAGAACAGGTCTACCTTAGTTTTGATTGCCAATCAGATCTTCCCAGCTTCAAAAATATTTCCACTTGCTTTTATCAAAACCAATTATTGGTTCAATTCATTCATAAGGTGATTAGTTTCCACATCTAATAAAAATGGTCAAATTTAGATATTATCTGTATGTGGTTTCAATGTGGTTACGACTTACGACAGGTTTTTAGTCTATATCATTTATATGAACCCTCGATTATTAAATTCTCTTTCTCTCACTCGGATCGTGCGAGTGGGCGTTTTAGGGTTTGAGAAAGAACGACACCGGCACTTCTTTGTTGAAGTGTTTAGTTTTATCTCCAGTTTGCTACTTCGGTGTCAGATAGTATAAATTTTAAAATTTAATATGGATTATTTGTTTAAAACAAATAGAGGATTACAAGATGAAGATGAAGAGTTATATAAACTAGGTTAAGAGTAAAACTATAGCTTAAGTGGATGAACACCTAAGCGAAAAAGTTCGAGAGTTTGAGTAGTATCCATAGCACTTAATTAAAACAGCATACAAGCTGTTGACATGTAGCACCACAATGAAAATTTTTCCGCTATAAATCATTTTCAGTATAAAATCATTTTTGACATGTGGCACTTTAACTATTCAGAAAAAAAATGAAATAAATAAATAAATAATCCTTTAATTATAGCTCTATACTAATCCCTCAATTATAGCTATATGCCAATCCCTTAAAACAGGAAATTAAACTTGAGTTGATAAAATCAAATGTAAAAAAATTCCCTTAAATCATGTGAAACATTACTGTGAGTAACGCCTCCCCAATCTCCGTACATACAAAATAGTTAAATGAAAAAAGTGGCTCCAGCATACAATTGGCTCAATCAAATATATAATACCACAATCAAGTATTTTTTCTCAATGTAATACAATTAGCTCAAAGAAATTCCATCATGCTATCATCGGCGATTAATACCAGGGGTGAAAAGATGATCAGCTCTCCATTATGGCAATCATGGGTTTATATCAAATGATTCTACCACCGAATGTTTCTTTGTCAGTTCAAGAGATATTATCTCAATAGTATTGTAATTTGTTATTAGTTAAAGGGCATGACTTGGGTAAAAAACAAAAGTTTTTTTATATGATTAGAATTGTTATTTATTTGCACGTACAAAATTTCACGTTATCATGATCAGTGTTATCTTATTATATTCTATATATTATTACTTTAAAATATACTTTTTTATTTATAATTTTTTTTTACAATTTTAAGATACAGGCTCCCCGGGGCAATAGCATCTAGTTATAAGTTAAAAACAATGACTCTTTTCCCGGGAAATAAAGTCAGTCACTCTTGTTTATTCATTTTTTCGCTTGGATTTTGAGTTAACTTATAATCTAACCTTACAAGGTAGTAATTCAAAAATTACTTCATTTAGACGCATTATCCATTAGGTTAATATTATCATTTTTTAAGGTATATATATATATATATGTATATTAATATTATTATTATTATTATTTGCTTGGACTGTTTAAGTAGATGGGCTGGGACCAATTTATTAGGCCTACTTAATCAATCTTCTTTGGACTCTAGTAGCATAGGTTATAATGGGCTTTGACAATTAAAGATTTAAGGGGGCCAGTTAATGTTAACGTTCTATCAGATTTTCAAGCCCTTTTAAACGTAAAATCAAGAATCTTGCACGTAGCATAAACTAGAAAAATCACTATTTCTACAATTGACTTTCAACCAATTCATTTCCTCCCTAATCAATGTATAGTTATTATGTGCAGAAAAAAACAAACACATTTCGAAATTAAAAAAGCATGATGTCAAAGGAAAAAAATAAAATAAAATGAAAGAATGGGCCACGCTTACAATAATGCACATTGGCTGGACGTTAATGTAAGCTCTCGTAGGCCCATGTTGATTGGAGCTCGTAGTACAAATCCTTAAAAATGTGTCCATATTGAGCATCTTGTACAGAAGCCTTCAAAGCCCATGGACCCCATGAAACTAATTGCACTATAACACTTGCTCTATCATGCACCAAGCACCATTGCTTGATAACCAACAACCTCAGGATATTCCATTGCCTTGTGATATCCTTCAAAATTACCCCGTTTTAGTAATATTCATTCTATCCAAAAATAACTATTATCACGTTTCTTATAATTGTAGAAATTATTTTGGGACGATAAGAGTATCTACAGGTATAAAATGCTATAACCTACCATAATTCATATTGAAATAACACAAGTTTAGAATACTTATTTACAGATGATCTCATTTAAGCTACTGGAATCCAGGCTACATCTATGTCTTGGACTGAGTTTTCAGCATAAAGTTTAATCATGCACAAAAGCCAAAGATGCCCTCCCTTTAGAGGCAACTGCAAATTAATATCAACTCTGATGGTCCAACTTTTGCCATCAAAGCTAAAACTTGACAGAAAAGGACAGATGACAATGAAATGGAAAAAACTTGCATTCTGAATTGTGAACAAAGTTTCACTTTTGTCCAACTCCTCCTGCTTGATATTTCCTTGTCTTCCCAAGTTCGACAAGCATACATAAAAGAGCTTCACACATATCGCAACTGTCGGGTTCGCTTGGATCCTTTCTCCATGAAGAGTATACCATCCATGCATGGTCAAGTTTCCTATCTGGTTTAACGACCACCGAGCCTGGAACTTCAGCATCCCGGCATGTTACGAGGCCATCACTTTTTTCTCCGTACCTTAGCTGTAAATGAAGCGCACAAACGGCCAAAACAGCAGATACAGGGACTATAACAGGCAACTGCCTGCGAACTTGATCAGCATCCATGGAATTCTCACCACCAAATTGAGGTAAAGGAAGCCAGGGAAGTTCAGCATGTGCAACAAGAGACATTGTGTATAAAACCTCAGGAGCAATACCCGTTTCCGAATGGAACGAGATCAGAGGAATATTTTCAGGGTGCTTGTACTTTTTAATGAACTCCTTCCTCTTCTCATATGTGAGATCTTCTAGCGCCCGCATGTCACCCTACATCAATTTAGTTTTTCCATCAGCCGTAGAGGTAAGTTAACAAAATCACCAGAAACTTTATTTGTTGAAACAAAAGACTGATTCTACTGAAAATTGTTTTGAGCACCAGGAAAAACAACTATCATGAGTATCAAGAGATGATCTTCAAACGGACAAGTATATTTAGCTAAATCAATCTACAATCACAAACCTCAGCAAAACCTAGGATATTCATGATCAGTTGCACTTGCTATAATTTTCTGAACCTTTATCAATAAACTGATACGTAAATTTGGACTACTAAAATAAATATGGCTCATGAGACCTAGAAGATTCATAACCGGCTACAACTACCAAAATTGTCTTTAAGTTCTCACAGAGAAGTGAAACATACGAATTAGAGAACTTAAGGCTAAAGTTTCTTTGAAGCAAGAGGATATACCAAGGATGGCATCACCTATTCTCTGACTTATGATCCTTCACATTAACATGCCAAAATGATATAAACCACAAGCCATTACAGGGAAGTAATATTAATCTCCACTTAACGTAGTATACCCCACATGACGATATGGAAACATAAGTAAAAGTATTACCTTAACTAATTTGCATATTATGAACTCCATGATACTCCGAGTTTGTCTGTCTGCAAGTTGACCTTCTCGAAGCATGTCTGCAGCCACAGGAGTGCCACCATAAGGGCTTTGCACCATTGCTAATCCTGCAACCTTGCCTTCCAAATCTTTCTGATACATCACCAGAGCAGCAGCAGCATCAACCCCACCTTTGCTGTGACCAAGAAGCATCACACGTTTGCCAGATCCCCAGTATAGCTCCTCTATATATTGCTTCAGTTCCCAAGCATTATGCTCCACAGATGCCTTTACACATTCAGAGAATGTTGAAGAATCAAAAAAGAACAACATGCACCAAAAACATTGTCACTGTTAAAGACATGAAAGAGGTACACTGAAAGAAGTATTTTCAAAATGTGAACATTTCAACTTAATTTGATTGCATTTACCTCACTGTGGATCTTAGCTATGTGACAAGCTAAACCCATCTTCGAGAAAGCCTTCTTGGTGCTGACAAAATATAACGGGCCGTGATTGCTGAAAAGCCCTGCCATATCATATTCCATTAGTATAATAGGTCAAAGCAAAGCTTAGCGCTGATGGGATTTAATTCAGAAAGCATTTAACTGTTTTCCCTGAACCTGGAATTAGTAGATAAATAAAAGAATCAGGCAGTTCGTGCTCCCCATTCCTAAAAAACATTAAATGAACACAGTCAGCACCTTCATTTTTGAATTCCTGCTACAAGTGGAGCCTCAAAAGTTTACAACTGAAAAAGGTCGACGAACACAACATTCTAGACAATGAAGCAAAATTCAAATGTGATATAACTAAGGATCCTAGATGAAGACTTATCTCAGAAAATCTTACGAAAACAAACACGGCAATGTTTGACAATTGAATTTCCAAAAAAAAAAAGAAAAAAAAAAGAGTAACCTTTTGCTTAAATCTATTCATGGAATCAGAAAAAAAAAAGAAAAAAAAGTAACCTTTTGCTTAAATCTATTCATGGAATCAGAAAGAAATTTGTTTAACATGAATATTTGAAACAACATGATAACAGTAATAGCAGTTCAAGCTCAAATGTGTAAGTGCAAGACCTTCCCACAGATGGTATGAGAAAAATAAAAGTTTCTAAGACTTCAAAGCTTCTGTTTTCCTGGAAACTATTTGTTTAGTTGAATAATATTAGACACAATTCACCTACTGAGATATTGTGCAATGTTGTATAAGACTTAGAAATGGAAAAACATCACGAGAAATAGAAGGCACTGCAGAACAAAGATTAAGCAACAATCCATACCTAATTGCTTGAAGAAGTTCCCGAAATCTTGCAGAACCATCCTCAGTAGGTGCCATTTCAGGATCACTTAGTAACCACCCAATATCATCTGCAGATCCACGGAGAGTTCTTCTCGCCCGAGAGATAAAACTAAAAATAGAACAACCAAGCGGATGGAATAAGGAAATTCAATAAGTTTTACAGTGTTCAATCATTTGTCAAAACCTAAAAATAGCAGTTTGCATGTAAGTACCAACTCAACCATCAGAAAACAAGGCATCTTTACCTCAAAACTCTGGATTGAGCACACCTGAGATAACACATTATACGACTCCAACACTTATATGCTAACCTCCTAATAAGTCTCAGGCCAAACAACGGAAGCACCAACCTGCAAAATACAGGCAAGATCAACCCATCAATTATCCTCAGAGATGGAAAGGCCATAAGAATGATATATACCAAATATAGATGCGTGACAAATGTTCAGAGAAAGCATATATTGGCACATTGATTAGAGATTTTGTTTGAGCATAAGAATGAAAAAGAGATAAACCAACTGACTAGCTGTTTAAAGGTGTCTTTAAATGAACAGCACAAGAAAGCACTTTTACCCCTTTAAAACAACATTGATGCCTTCAAGCCTGTAACTGCTATCTACATTTCCTAATCTGGAATATACAATGCGATCTTTGAGTTCTGAGTATGAATTTTCTGTACCACCAAGGGTTCTGCTGGCATTCCAATAGCCAGATGATGTTGAAAAACTCTCAGGAACACAAGTAAAAGCACCTCGATGTGTGTCATTCACTTCATCATCATGAAATGAAATCAACGAGTCTTCCAAACATCTTTTCACAACACCAACATCCTCTGCAGCATTATGTGACCGTCACCAAATTTAGAAATCCATTTAAGATGCAAGAATCTGTATGACAGTTAAACATACGCCCATACGATGCATGCATTTCATAAATGATTCAAGGGACTCACCAATAAATTGAACCAATTTATGCGTTAAGTAAGAAGTCAAGGTCAAAAGACTGGAAAATATGTCGTCTATTGACACCAAGGAACAAACTTGTATCTGGAAAAGGTCCCAATTGAGCTCCTGCTAAAGGAGGCATATGTAAGTCTTCGAGAACCAAAATCAAATCTGAGGAAGGACTACAAAAATTATTGATAATGGTAGTTAAACCACAAAAAAAAATAATAATAAAAAAGTAGAAAATCCCGGCAACTCATAATTAGTTAAAAGCTATAATTTAATTGAGATCAGAAAACCACCTCATCACAGATCCATACAATCTAATGTGCGTCCTAATTCATAGTTTTGAGCATGTGCTTCCTAATTCATAGTTTTGAGCATATACTAATCCAAATAATTCCCTCTAAACTTGACCGAACCAAAAAGAGAACCTCATTAGTATAAACCCACATCATGATGCAAGGTGACCATGAAACATAGCACTTACAGATGAAGGGATGAGAGACAATTGCTGGCTTAAACCAAATTCTGCCATCAACCTTTTCAGCCCTGATAGTAGAATGAGGCAACAACACATGTAAATGAACAAAATCAAGTTGACAAACAGTTATGAATAAAAAAACACAACATATTTATTCTTACAAAAAATTCTTTGAATTAAGGCCAGAGATTATCGTGATACCCCTTGAACTAAAACTTAATATTCTCTTGAGCAAATTCTTTTGTTACAAAAATTACAGTCACTTGGGATGAGCACAAAGTATGAATCCTACTCAATAATAATTGCATGCAAGACAAAAGAGTATCCAGTATCCTCGGGCCCGCATTCGGTTATGTACTCATCAGTTCAAATACTAGCCATTATTTCATGATTAGCACTTAAAAGCAATCTCAGAAAGAAATAAACGAAACTCAACCCAGAAAGCGACTTGGAATTGACCTGTAAAACAATATCTCAAGCAAGATCTCCTACAATGGACCACACGAATGTTAACTTTGCACCCACATTTCAGTCAGGAAAACGCCCTATCCAGAAAATGCCCCGCAATTCCACAACGACATCTCTGATAAGAAAAGAGCATATCTTGTGAAATTAGACCAAGCACTCAAATATCAAGACCACCTGATGGCATCTCAACACAATGTGTAATAAAAAATTAAAAAAAAAAACCCATCTCATAGATCTTGAAATAACAGAGAATCGTTAAAATAAGGAGTTCTTAGGAAGATAAAGAGTGCAGGATAAAACAAACCTGAAATGAGCCAGAAACAGGTCAATCTTCCAAATAAAGGAAATTATATATACTGGTAGAAGTACAGGAGAAACTAACCGCAAATCCCAATAAAGCATCGATTTTTCCACCAATCCAATAAACAAATGGGCTCTAATAGTTTAATAATTCTTGCAATGTTAAAAAAGTTCAACTCAAAACTACCAACCGAAAGGGGAAATGATGGGCATTGTCTCATTGAATGTGAATAGAGCAGAGAAAAGAAATCAGATTCTGGAGTCTAGACCGGTTATCTTTATCCAATGCCAATGCCAATGCATTCTACTACAATGGCCCACCAGGGATCACCCCAAAAGAAGAAATTCCGATTAAACAAATGGTGGGCATCTTCCAAAGTTTCTATCTTTTTTCTCAGAAATCCCTCCAAAAGTCTTGAACCAATTAAGCTTAAAAATCACTCAACTTTGAATGTTACCTACCCTTTATTCCCTTTTCCCAAAAAAGGTGGTTTTAACCGCCGCAATCACCAATAGTATCGTAACTGTAAAAAAAAAAAAAGTGAACCAAATCAATGAAGAAAACCCCCCCAGATTTTGTGCCCAAACAAAAGGAGTTAAATTTTGACAGCGTGAGTCTTTGAGATGTGGAAAAAAGCACACGTGTTTAATGAAACTGAAGAGAGTCGGCAGCAGAAGGCATGGTGGAAAGGAGGTGGGGTCCAGTTGCTTTGATCAGTCAAAAGGATTTTCAGAATGGATTTTTTTTTTGCTTCGCTCTCAATCTTTCTTTTGAAATGCCAAATGGGAAAGGGGTTTTTGTTTCCCAAGTGGTGTTACTAGTTGGATTTTGGATTGGAGGGCCGACAAATTGCGAGGGAAAATGGCCCCCCTCCCAGAATTTGGAATTGGATTATGTATTGGATTTCTGCAACTGTAAGAAACCCAAGCTCATTGATGGAATGATGATGTAGTAATATTTTAAGCACTTTCTTACACCTACTGCCTACTTGTTTCCAAGTGTTTTGAGATTTGTGACCATACCATTTATGACATGGGAAAAAGAGCAAAATCAAAATGAAAGAATTGGTTCTAAAAATCTACTCCTCCCGTCTCATAATTATTGTCCAATTTAAGTTTTCATTTTTAATTCAAATTGTTGTCCAATTTGAGTTTTTATTTTTAATTCAAATTGTATTAAAAATAAAATCTCAAACTGAACAATAATTTTAAGACAGAGAGAATAATATCTTCTGTCATCCTTAGCTCATGAAGACATGACCACTTCATAGACGGATTTAAATAATTAATATGAAAATTTATAACAACCAAATTCTTATACTACCTACCTTGACTTTACCTTGCAGCTAATGAAGATAAATAATTAACGTATCACAAAAGATTGTTTGTGACACTTTTATATTCACACTCTCTACAACATTAATTAAAATTTTGACACATTTAATTACTTGTCAAACATAGTTTACTTACTATTTTAATTAAGATATTAATAATTAATTACTTATTAAACACATGTCAACTATTTAATCAGTGTCACGAAAAGTGTCAGCACAAAATGTCACAAATGACCATGTGCCTCTACATGCATGTTCAAATTTCCTGTTAATTTGACTTACTGCCAATCCTTCAAGATTATCAAGGGTCCTTTGAACTTCTCATCTCTTTTCACTCCCTTTCTCCTTAAAAACAGAATCTTTAACTCCATATCTCTCATTAAGTTTAGTTTCCCAAAGAACATTTGGGGGGCGGGGAGATGGAGGTGGGATTGAAATAGAGATAAAATTATCAAAAACTGTCCATAGAGTTGCCTCAGAAGGTCATGGACAGATTTCGAAGGAATATAGGGCAGTAACACGAAATGCTCCACAGGATAACATCAAAAGAGCTAGTTTTTCTAACAAAACTACTTGCATCGTTCTGAAGAGCTTCATCCCACACAATTGGCAGGAGTTTGAGTCATCTACAATGCTACATGGACATCGTATATACATGAGGCTATACCAATCACAACAACAACCACGATGACTACGACCAAGCCTTTATCCCACTACATGCTCTTGACTATACAGATCATTGTCGTCATTGTGCAAGCAATGGCCAGCTTCTAAGAAGAACCCTCCCAATTTGATCAACTGTACGACTGGTGGATGCAGATGGCAAGATCATTAACTGGCTCGAACTTATTAATGAAGTGGTCCTAAGAACTTTTGAAGCCTGGTTTTTCATTTCAGATTCTCCCAATTGAAGAACCATCATCAGAAAGCAGTCATCTATGTTTTATCTGAAAAACTCGGTTGTACCAAATTGAATGGAGGGTCATATGGAAAAGATCATACTTCTCAGGTTTTGCATGCCATAGAAAATGCCGTTGAGCCTTTCTGACCCCAAATTGCATTTCGCGATATTTCTCCTCCGGTATGGATAGGAGAATATCTTTCAAATTAGGAATGTCCTTCTCTGCAAGGATTAAAGAAAATGCACTCCAGTTTAGGACCTCAAAGAAAGGTGGCACAAAATTGTCTGATATAATCACAGGGACACACTCATAGAAGATTGCTTCAACTACCCTTGGGCTGTTGACCTCATAGCCCTTGGGACAGATGCAGAACTTGCTACTTTTCATGTGCTGGATGTAATTCATCTTGCTTGCTACACCAGGAGGCATTGGACCAAAGATCTTCATGTCAGGGTCCTTATCCTTCCAATGTTCCAACAATATTGTACGCAGATAACCATGCATGTTTCCAGCATAGAAAGCAAGAATATATCTTTGGGATGGTGGCTTTCCACCAAGATCTCTAAGAGGATTTTTGGCTGAGCGGACATATGTTTCTGGAAGGGAAACATCTCTTCCTATCTTGAAACCCAAGGTTACATCAGCATTGCAGAGTGCTTTCATACAATGTTCCATGTGGTGACGTGTCTCGTATGGAGCCTATAAAATTAAAATGGAATAAAGATTTAGCCAGAGCACAGGTTTTCCAAATTAGTCAATATGCATGTATTCGAATTTTCGCAAAGCTGGAGAATGAGTCAACGACACTTCAAAAGTGGACAAACAAAAACAAGTATCTATGAAATTCACATCGTGAAATTGATGTGCGCATATGTTCTGTTATACATGTTTTTTTCGCAAGGAAATGTCACCATATAGGAATGAGGAGCGGAGCTAACAAAGTTAATGCTTGAGTCTAATATCAAAATTTACTGAACTTGGCACAAAGTAAATGGAGAAAAGTAGTACCCAGTCATGACAGGCAACAAGGAAATGATCAGCCCCTCCAGTCCTGTTCCAGAAGCGATATTTGGCAGCAATTTTGTCAGAGTAATCCTTCAAGTACTGGCGAAGGTTAGTACGATTGTGAGAGTTTCGAACATAAACTTTGTATTCCAGCATCCGAGAACTAAATGGCATATAAAATAGATGTGCCCTTCGAGGATCTTTGACAACAAAGCGTTTGTTTCCCTCCATCAGTTTCATAAACCATCCTTCCGATGCATACAATCCTTTCAGTATGGGCTGATGAAAGATGGGTTTTTCTCCTTCCTTATAGACATAAATTTTCAGTATTTGTTCCATAAGTTCATAACTCCTGCCATGTTTTATGTAGGCATTAGGAATATATCACTGAAATCCAAATCCTAAATCTGGAAACAAAAAGGAAAAAGAGAGAGAGAGAGAGAGAGAGAGAGAGAGAGAGAGTGGAGATGACCATGAAGTAGAATAAATTGAAACAAACACATGTGAAGAGCATGAAAAATTCACGCACAAGTTTCAAGCATTCATTATTCAGCTTCACCATCTATAGAATGTCTGAAGGCTAAACAAATTTAAGATTTAACAAATTGAATAGCTTCCAACAATTTTTCATGATTTCGGTATATCCATGATTTAAAAGGGTAGTCCAGAGATGGTAAAATGTATCTTGACTTTAATTTCTTCAATGTTTGCAAGGTATAATTTCATCTGTCTCATAGCCTAAATAATTGCAACACCGAAGTAGCTCTTTCACAAAACTCAATCTCCGAACAAAGGAAAGTAAGGAAATGTTTAATTACTCCAAAAATATGGGCTAACCTTTTGAAAGTTGAAACATTTCGAAATAAAGGACCATAAAGGTCTTGATCATTTCTTCCAACTGGGGCATTCTCGATCTGTACTTTTGCAGATAAGATCTCTTCATCACGGGCAGATGACCATCGTGGTCTCTGTATAAAGCTTTAAGATATCAGATTCAACAAAATTAAAAGAATTAGTAACATCAGAAATAGATCAACTTTGATGGAGGAAATTCTACCATTGCACGTGAATGAGCGCGGTTCCGAACAAGCAATCTCTCCATCTCATCAATTGGAGTCACTGTTTTTGGTGGCATTTCACACTTCATCTTCTTTTTGGCAGGCTTAGGTACCAACCTAGAACTGTTATTTGAAGCAGCAACATCAGTTTGCAGGAGGACAATGTTTCCTTCATGTGGAATCGATGCTTTAGTCTGTCCTCCTTTAACAGAAACACTAGCAGCAGTGCCAGTGACCATACTCACATTGGAGAAAGCTGATAAATTAGAAACATTTGATGGGAAAGCAGCACCTGCATCCACAGTTTCTTTATCTACAATTGGACCTGACAATGTGTCTGAGAGATCTTGATTGCTTGGTTTTACAACTTGTTCAAGGAAGAAGCCCTGCTTAGATTCAGTAGTACTTTCAGCTTGATCATCCTTTCCCAAGGATCCAGGATCGTCAGTGCCCCCCATCTCAAATGCTATGTCCTTGTCAAGATTGGCATCCTCGACAAAGTCAAGCCCATTATCAGTACCTTTGCTTTCTGAAAAGATTTCATTTTCTTTTCCATGTTCCTTGGTAAAACTGGAGTCATCATTTCCACTATCTCTGGTGAAATCTACTTTTTCCACTATTTTGATGCTTCGAGTGAGCAATGATTCTTCTGCCAAATTTGGTGCATTAACAATAATAGGATGATCAACAATGACAGATTTGGCAGATGATGGCTCAGATGTAACGGTAATCTTCCCCTCAACAATGAACTTATGATCAGGAATGAGGGACAGAAGAGCATGACTATATGGAAGCATCAAGGATTGACAGAAAAGATGAGTAATAGTTACCAAACCAACCACCAATAACCATTTCCATTTCTCCAACTGATATAACCTTCGCATACGCACCGAGTTATCCATTTTGGGTTTTCGCATTTGCCCAATTCCCACTTTAAAACTGCCGCTCCATCGAGCAACACATAAGTATAATGTTTAATCCTGCAAAGCAAATAAATCTCTTAATACAGTAAAAAGCTAAAGGAGGGAAGCAATCTTTACTCAACTTAAGATTCCCTCATTAGAAACAAAGCAACTCTTATAATAAGACAACTAGGAATGAACTTTATCACAACCAGCAGTATTATAAAACTAAAACATCATATGCAACCTAAATTTCACTAGTTGTCAACTAAGATTTTTTAGGCCTTCTTTACCAGCAAAATATATAGTACATCAGAAGTTCCACAAGTAAAATCAAGCTTCTTGACCAACAATGCCTGGGCTAATCATAGAGTCAGAACCAAAAGGAACCATAACTACATTTGGAAACCCAATCCCCAGAAATCATTTTCAGTAGCAATTCAGCCGAACCAACAGAACCATAAAGCAAAAGGTCAAACAAATGGATCACACTCACACAACAAAGTAAAGAATTGAACTTTTATAGCAGGCAATGCACGAGAACATATAATTCTTCTACAAAAAAAAATTACCAGAGCCCAAATGTACAGGGGAAGTAGAGCAGAAACACCGATGAATACCAGAAGGAGCTGAAAGCAAAATCGGTCAACCCAGAAACCCTTTTTTGCTAAACTGTCGGTCCTTGGGAACGAGGGGCGTTTTGGGTTTTCTGTGCCTTTGAAATTCAAGAAACGACCAGCACCGGCATCAGCATCAAACCGAACTAGCAGTAAGAAGACTGGTTATACGCTTTTTTAATAAGCAGATTGATAAAAATGATTCCTTTATCTTTCCAAATTCATTTAATTAGTCCCAATAAATAAAAAAAACTGTACTTTAATCAGAGAAGCTTTCCAGCTTGCAAATGTAATTAAATTTGCTAAAAGTAAGATTAGTAGTTAAACTGCGCAAATCAGAATTTCGGTAATCTTAAAAATGGCTGCTTTTCGCTTTTGGGTTTGGACAGTAGTAGCAATAATTGAGCTGCTGATTTGGGCTTATTTGCCGAGATGGCTTGTTTATATTTTTAGGAAGTTGACTTCTTTTGTCTCTTAGCTTTTGTTTCGGAGACACATTTTTGTACTAAAAATGCAGTGATTATACGGTCCTTGTTAGTAAAAATTTTCAAGAATTTTATGAAGGACTCCTCCCGTCTCAAAAAAAAAAAATATAATAATTCACATTGAGTTTTGAATTTTGTATTATTTTTAATGCAAATTTGAAAATTCAATGTGGACTATTTTTTTGGGACGGAGGTAATGTTTAATTGTTGAACATTTATGTTCGACCCAATGGAATTCTACAAGCTATTGTGAATTTGTGATGATGGATTGGATAAGACGTATCAACACTTGTTTGGAGTTAATGATAAGTCTAATTTTATTGATTTGGTTTTAGAATGAAAATGTCAGCAGATTCTCCGCGAGGCTGTACTTATATAATAATGCCATTGTTTGGGATCTCAAATCTCATCCATATGATATGAGCATGATGTCTAATTTAGTGGGAAGATCTCTAATAAAATTCACTTTTTTCCTACTATCCAAAAGAAATAATTCACAATAGATTTTGAAAATGAGTTATGCTATTTGTAGCTCCTATAAATCTTAGGTATTGCCCCTTTAGACGAATTTACCTCTGTCATAAAATTAAAATACAAATCTTTTTTTTTTCTCATATTTCCAAATTCTCTCAAACTTCAAACAAAAAATAAAAATATTTCTTTAATCTGGAGGCTACAATCATGGGTTTTGATGGAGACAAAGATTCATAGACAAGTGAAATAATCTTCATCACTTTTTTTTTTAATTTTTTTATTAAAAATTTATTATAAGAAAATCAAAAAAAAAAAGTTGTGGCGGGTCGGCGCTCGTCGATTGCGCCTGACCGGCGGAGGTAGCGTCCATCCCAGACGCCCCTCGAAAGGGGAGACAAATCACTGGTTCGCCCTTCCATGGCTACGTGCGTCGCAGGCAAAACTGGTTCTCCTTCTATTTTAATAGTAACTTGTTATGATCAGTTCCAAAATAGCGAAATGTAGTTTAATTGTGGCAACTTTAGAAGTTCAGTTCAATTAGATGATGATAGAAGAGTCTAGCTAGTTAGCTAGCTACAAAACTCGGCAATTGTTTCAGTTTTCAGTTACTTTTCTTCTTTGAAGAATTAGACCACAACCTAATCAAAGGAATATGTGAACCTAATCAGAGTGAGTTCGAGTTTTCTGGGCCTCCTGGGATTCAAGGAACGACCCAGCACTAATTTTTACCATTAGTTAAAAAAACCCCATTTTTGTGCAGAGGATGGGAAATTGGTGAATGGGTAAAGTTAGCATAAATCATTGGAGTTACATAATTTTACTCACTGATTTGATATACTTTTTTGGGGTAGAATATCATTCTGTTTCTAGGAATTTTTCGTAATTTTACTGCAGCTGTTGACATTTTTTTCATCATCAACATGGAATGCAACGATCAGATCGACAGGCAGAATCCTCAATATGAAAAGTCAAGCAACTAATGTCAACGTTTTTGGCCTGAAATACCTATTATATGATCTTGATCTTTGCGTGAATCTGATCAAAGTTTACTGTAACTTTGCTCGTAGCTGTTACCGCAGAATCCAGATACTTCTGGCAGAGTTAGAAGATTGAGCCAGACTAATAATATACTCCCTCCGGTCCTTATAATATAAGGTAGTTTGACTTGTCCTAGGTTTCACTTAGTACGCATTTTAAATTAGCAAAAAAAATTTAAAAATAATTTATAACAATCAAGAGAACACGACGAATCTAAAAATATATTTTTAAGATTTTTTCATCAATTAAAAATGCATATTAGGTGAAAACCTATGAAAAATCAATATTTCATCAACCACGTCTCAGAGGAATTCATGTTTCTGATGAAAAAAAAAATATGAAATTTTGCTATTCGGGATTCCAAGAAAAGCATTGGATCATCCAATAATAACTGATCCATCAATTAGAACTTCTTCTTCTTTCTTCTTGCTGCTCTTATCAGTCAGCATTAGTTTAGTTCTATGAACTGCTAGGCAGGGCTACCTACTCTGTGATTACAGTAATGCATTGTGTTAATAATGCAAACCCAATCATCAAAGTCAACGCATACTACCAATCCAGGGTTGAATTTCTAGCATTATTTAAATTGCATTTTCTAACAAACAAAAGGGTCAGAATAAAGCCACTGTTCTTCGATTTTTGACTCTGTGGCTGGTGAGACCATCATTTTCTGGGCTTGCTGATAGGGTTTCAGTTGTATTCTTAATCTATAGTTAATTTACAATGCTTATCAAATATGTAAAACTGTGCCTATATATATATATGATGTACTTGATTCATTAAGGAAAAATACAGAAATGTGGTTCCTTCATTCCTTTTGATTTATTATCTATTTTTCATTCTAAACTCAAATACCAATTTGTTACACAACATCTATAAGAAGGCTCAGAAGCCAATATTTCATCAACCATATATCTCAATTATTCTTCTCTATAATAATGTATGTATTGCCACAAGTATTCTTCTTTATCTTATATTACCAATTCAGGGTTGAGTTTTAGCGTTATTTTAATCACATTTTCTAACACACACAGGGTCAGAACTCAGAATGAAGTTGCCCTTGTTTTCTCCGGAAATCTGTAACTTCCGTTTTCTTCATTGATTTTGATGATTCTGGTACAGATTTCTTTCTTTTCATTGCTCATGTTTCCTTTTCCCGATCAATGGCAAGAAAAACAAACCTCGTAAGGGGATCTGATCGGACTGAGAGGACTCATTCTCTGGAGAATCTTTTTGGCGATGTTTCATCAGTAAGACAAAAGTCAACTCCGGTATGAATAATGTCTTGATGAGTTGGGGTAAAAACATGGTAAACAGGCTTCAGATTGATAGACTGCGTAGCTTCAGAAGCCTGAGATTGCTCTATTGGGTTGCAGTCTTAAGTATAACTGCAATTCTGTTTCAGTTCCTGATACTCCCTTTTGGAAGCTTTAACTCCACTCCATCATCACATGTAAATATCACCAGCATCCTGTTTATGACAGTGAGCGATACCGAGCTTAAAAGCAATAACTCGCAATCGGCCCGTGTTGACATTCTTCATGAATTTGCTGATTCTGATTCGGATGAAGCAGATTGGTCAGAAGATGAGAAGCAGCTTCCTAATGATAATGGAGAAATTGAATCTGTTTTCACAGAGTGGAGAAGGGATTTTAAGGAAAATGTTAATGGTGTGATCACACTTGATGCAAATGCAAATTGGAACAAAGAAGAATCCACCAGTGAAGTCGAAAACAGGACTGAAGCATTGGATTCATCAGTACCCTTTGAGGACTTACTTCATCCTGGTTTAGTTTCACAAAACAGCAGCTCAGCAATGGTTGGTAAAACAGGATTGAATAAGGGCTCCAATGTGATGACACCAATCTCTTATATGAAAACAGTATTGCTTCAGATCTCTCCTTCTGCAAATTCAAAGGTATTTTGACAGGAAATTCATTTGGACATGAACATTGGCTTTGAATTCTTCATTTACCATATTTTTTTCATCTCCCAATTTCATTTGTTGCAGAGGCCGCGACAGCTTTCTGCTCGCGATAAGGAACTTCTGAAAGCAAGACATCAGATAAAAAATGCTCCTGTCATAAGAAATGTTCCCAAGGATTACGCTTCTCTTTTCCGAAATTATTCAACCTTCATAAGGTAACACAGGTGTATTATGATCCATTCAATCTGATCGCTTTTTAGTTACCTTATTTTGCTTTTGATCATGGTGGATTGTGGCAGAAGTTATGAATTAATGGAAAGGATGATGAGAGTATACATTTACAAAGAAGGGCAGAAACCAGTATTTCATGACCCTCATCTCAAAGGAGTTTATGCTTCTGAAGGGTGGTTCATGAAGCTGATGGAAAAAAACAGGCAATATGTTGCTCGTGATCCCAGAAAAGCGCATTTGTTTTATCTTCCATTTAGTTCACGGAGGCTAAGGAGCATGCTTTACGAACAAAATTTTGCTACTCCCAGGGATTTGGATAATCATCTCAAGGACTATGTTCAAATCATTGCGACAAAGTACCGGTTCTGGAACAGAACCAAAGGGGCTGATCATTTTCTGGTTGCTTGCCATGATTGGGTATGTCATCCATGATCTCTGTTTCCTAATTTTGTCGAATTTTTCTTTTATCATTGAGATTCATAGCCCAAATGGAGAAGTCGGCAAATTTCAAATACATTTCTAAGTGAAACACTTTATCGAGTTGGTCATTGAGATACATAGCCTGATGTTTAAGTTAACGAAGTTCAAATACTATTTTTTAGTAAAAACGCTCGTCAACTTGAATAAGTCGGCAAACCTTTTCACTAAGAAATATTTGAAATTCGTCGAGATATGTATTTCAACGAATAAGTCGACAAACTTTTCACTAAGAAATATTTGAAGCTCGTCGATTTATTCATCGAGATATGTATCTCAATGGCTAAGTCGACGAAATTTTCCATTCGTCGACTTATTCATCGGGATATGTAACTCAACAACTAAGTCGACAAACTTTTTCATTAAGAAATATTTGAGATTCGTCGAGATATACATAACTAAGTCGACGAACTTTTTCACTATGAAATATTTGAACTTCGTGGACTTAATTCGTCGATACATGTATCTCAACGATTAATTCGACGAATGTATTCACTAAGAAATATTTGAACTTTGTCGGTTAATCGTCGATACACGTATCTTCTTGCTCGATGAATAAGTCGATGGAGTGCAATTTTTCCTTTTTAAGAGGTTTTTGACTTGGTCGCCGATCTATATAGCCACAATGAATAAGTTTCTTAAGATCAAATTAAAACTATCAAAGATCAAAATTGAAGTTATGTTACTTTCTTACTGATCTCGGGTTATATTTGCATCAGCTACAAGGGTTTAACTTTGTGAGTACTGATAACTTGAACAAAATCATTTTGCTGGTAGTTTAATGAAGAATAAATGTTACAGGCTCTAAGCTTCACAAACGAAAGCATGGGAAGCTGCATCAGAGCCGTTTGCAATACCAATCTCGCGAAAGGTTTCCAAATAAGGAAAGATGTAGCCCTGCCAGTGACCATGGTTCCTCTTAAATCAGGAAATCCTCTGGAAGATATTGGAGGTAGTCACCCTTCAGATAGGCATATTTTAGCTTTCTTTTCAGGAAGTATGCACGGTGATCTTCGCCCAATCTTGCTTAAGCATTGGAGCAACAAAACGTCAGATATGAAGATTCTCGGGCCATTAGGTCACAATGTCACAAATGCAGCTAGATATAGAGCTTTCATGAAAACCAGCAAGTACTGCATTTGTGCCAGGGGTTACGATGTGCATACTCCACGGGTGATCGAATCCATATATTTTGAATGCGTTCCAGTGATCATATCAGATAATTACGTGCCTCCTTTGTTTGATGTCTTTGAATGGGAATCATTTGCAGTATTTGTGTTAGAAGAAGATATTCCGAACTTGAGGAACATACTTCTGTCGATACCGGAAAGCAAGTACATTGAGATGCAGAATAGGGTAAAGTTGGTGCAACGACATTTTCTTTGGCACAAAGTTCCTGTTAAGTACGATGTATTTCATATGATTCTCCATTCCATTTGGTACAGAAGGGTTTTCCAAGTGAAAATCTAAATGAGGAAGTTAACTTTGTAAAGGTTCCACAAATGTAAATCTTGTGATAACTGATCAGATGCAATCTCTTGATTGGTTCTAGAAAAGCACACTCAACTCCTTTTCTCCTTTTACTTTTAATTGTTGCTGTAGATTAATAACTGCAGACATCATTCAGTTTACCTTAAGAACCTGAGAGTTTAATGAAAGCAGGTTAATGATACCACTTGACCAAACCAAACTAGTAACAATTGCTTCCCAGAAAAAAGAAAAGAGAAACAGATTAAAAAAAACTGATAAAGCAAGGTATAAGCCATTCCTATTAAAGTATAACAGCATAAATTCCAGATTTAAAATGGCTTCAGAATGAAAATAGAGACTGAGTCATAAGGTTTAACCGAATCCAGATTGATATGAAGTTCAATTCCTTCTGTGCTTCCGGTCCAGCAGCTCTCTCAAGTGAATGAAAAGCTAGACAAGGAAGTGCTCTCTCAAGTGTATCATTTCGAAGCTTCTTATCAAGATCGGACGAACATTGGTGATTACTGTAGCAAATTCAAATTGGACATATATTTTAGCCACACACAGAAAACAAAATGGACATATCTGCATTGAGGAATTCATAGCAGTATGGTTATCGCTTTCCATGCATGCCTTTCTCTGCACCATGAACTCAAACTCAGTTTCTAACCCTCTTAAGCTGAATTATATACTGTTCTTTTACTTTTACTTATCTTTGTAAGTTCATCAGTTGTTGATTCCCTTGATGCAAGTTGGTTATTTGGAAGCTGCTTATCATCCTTTGGCTGAGCTACTCCATCTGAAAAAGAAACAGCTTCAGAATTCCTCACTGGCATAAACATGATGCTGCTGGAAATATATACTTAAAAGATTTAAGCCATAGTTTTCCAAGTGGGATTGACAGAAACTGAGACAAATATGCACGGTTAAGATTGAAGGTCTGCAACCACATACATCAATCTCCAACTTCTGAAACTACGCATAAATCTCTTTCTTCCCACGTTTTAACAAGAACTCAGTTTGCAAACAATGGTTTTTGGTTAAAAAATAGAAAAATGGATTCTTCAGAAATTGCACTGTACAGAAATCAACGCATCATTCCCTGACCCGTGAACCGCAGCCAACAACATCAGCGCCTCCAGAAAAAAAAACATGGTTAGCTTGTCACTAGATGTTAGTTTAGTTTGTTGCAGTGAGGAGCAAAATGAAACATGACTGAAGAAGGGGAAATAAATTAAGACCAATCCATGAAGTTAAAGAAGTTTGAAGTAAAAGGAGAAAACTTATGCAGGAAAAATGTCTTCGGTCTACTTCTCTTGTGGCTCCAAAGGCAAAAAGAAAAAAAACATCAAAACACGCATACTAATATTTTAGCAGGAAACCACAACCAGCTTCATTCTGCTCGTTATTAAAACTATGAAATTAAGAATGCTAATTTATGGCAGTAAGTACAATACCGCAGAATGAATGACATAGATATAAGGCATTATGCTAATCACTGAGTTGGTAGTCTAGAGGCTAAAGTAATGAACCAACTGATGTAGAGTACCAGGAAATAACACTAGGAAATAACAAGAAGTTAATCACGGATGTTCTTCTTCCAGGTACATAGGGCTGCATTTGCAGTATAAATGCAGGAGTTATCACTTCTTTTAGAAGATCTGTTGAAAGAGAGACTTTCCAGTATGCCCCAAACTCCTTGTCATTTACCTTGTTTTAAGGAGAACTTCTAATGGTTGCAAGTTCTTCTGAAAAACTGTAAAGAACCATACTTTTGTCAACGTTTTGGATCATACTAAAATGTGGTCTATAACAGTACAGAAAAAGGCTTAAAACAAATCCTTTGTATTAAAGAAAAAAGTTAATAAGTATCTCTCTGCATTCTGCAGAAGTTTTATCTACATAAAAAATGGAGTGACTTTACAAGAATCATGAACTTCTGTATGGAACCACATGAATGGATGGACATTGTGTACAAAGAGGTCTAGCATAAATTTCTGTATACACACCCTGATCATCTTCACAATGTACTCCTGAAGGATCAGACGGCTGGAAACAAAAATATTGACCATATTCCCCCCTCCTTTTAAATGCTAATTCATCACCTACTAATACTTGACCTGCAAATCTTATGATTAGTATCTTTTGCTTCCTGTGAACTTCACTCATGCTTATACCTGGAAAACTCTTCTGTGCCAGATGGAGTGGAGGATCATATGAAATATGTCATACTTCACAGGGTTTTTGTGCCAAAGAAAATGCTTTTGCACCAACTTTACCCTATTGTGCATCTCAATATACTTGCTTTCAGGTATAGACAGTAGTATATTCCTCAAGTTTGGTATATCTTCCTCCGGAACAAAAACTGCAAATGATTCCCATTCAAAAATATCAAATAGAGGGGGCACATAATTATCTGATATGATCACAGGAACACATTCATGATTTATGGATTCGATCACTCGCGGGCTATACACGTTATTTCCCCTTGCACAAATGCAATACTTGCTGCTTTTCATGAACTCCCTGTATCTTGCTGCACCTCTGTCATCATGACCTAATGGCCCAAAAATCATCATATCTGTAGTTTTGTTGTACCAGTGTTTCAGCAAGATCCGACGAACTCTACCATGCATCTTCCCGGCAAAGAAAGCTAAAATATGCCTCTCTGAAGGGTGAATACCTCCAATATCCTCCAAAGGATTCGCTCCACGAACCATGGTTGAGGGCAGCGAGATATCCTTCCCTATTTCAAAACCTTGAATAGGATTCGCATTGCAAACAGCTCTGATGCAACCTTTCAAGCTTTTCCTCGTGAAGTTTAGAGCCTGTAACATATGCTCTTCATTAAGGAACTAGTTTAATAATCATGTTAAAACTATTAGTGCTGCACCGCAACCTACAACCGAACTATACTAGTACACGAATTATATGGATAACAGCAGCCGATGAGGTTGACCCAGAGACAAAACTAACAAGAATCACCACCTGAAGCGACCTGACACCTCTCGTTTTAAACATTATGCATACTTGTGCTTAAACTTTCTTCATGAACAAGATAAAGTTAAGTGTGACAAGACATACCCAATCATGGCAAGCAACAAGAAAATGATCAGCTCCTTTTGTTCTGTTCCAGAAGTTGTACTTTGTAGCAATGCTTTGAACGTAGTTCTCAAGATGAATCTCCACATCACCATAATAAGGAATATGCTGGTCATAACACACACTCCTAAGCCTTCGCGAGCTAAAGGGTAAATAAAACAAATGCGCCTTTCTGGGATCGCGAACAACATATTGCTTATTTCTTTCCAGCAGTTCCATGAACCACCCTTCAGAAGTATAGACTCCTCCAAGATAAGGGTAATGGAATATAGGCTTTTGCCCCTCCTTGTAAATATAAACTCTCAGCATCTGTTCCATTAATTCATAGCTTCTGCCACAACCCACAAGGATCAAAAGCAATTGAAAGTTAGACATTATGCCTGCAGTTAACTTTAGCAGTAAAAATACTGACAAGAAAGGAGTTACAAGATGGTTAATGAAATGGAAATGCACGAATCAGTTGGAAGCAGTCACAGCGAAGAGATTAAACAATCATAGCCTAAATGTTAAAAAGTTAAAGTTACCTTATGAAGGTTGAATAGTTTCGAAAAAGAGATGCATAAATTTTGGGAGCATCTCTTATGATAGGAGCATCTTCAATCTGAATTCTCGCATTTAAAAGCTTCTTATCAAGCACAGAAAGCTGTTTTGGCCTCTAAAACAAAAAAAAAAAAAAATCGGAAACTAGACATCAAATATGCTAAACGAATAAAGAACTCAAAACCAATTTTCAAAGACAAATAAAAATTTCATATTAGTTACCTCTGAATTAGAGGAGGAAGAACCTTGCAGCATTGAGGCTTTCATCTTAGAGATTGGAATAATAACTTTGTTGCTCTTCTTCTTGACTTTTTCCTTACTTTCAGCTGATCGATGTTTTGGTAAAAGCAAACCGGAAGTTAGATAATTGGACACCGAATGAACTCCATTTCTGATTTCTCCAGAATCATTCCCCATGAATGTCTTCTGATTTCTTCTCTGCTCCACTGACCCGAATTCGGTTTTTAAACCCTCCTGTACAGCTTTGTATTCTGTTCTGTTACTTGTCCCCACATTTGGAACTTCATCAGTAGATAATTCCCTGCCAGATGTAACTTCTTCTGACCGAGCTTCTTCATCCAAAGCAGAATCAACAGAATCAATACTGGTGGATTGTGATTCATTACTTGAAAGCTCAGAATTTCCCAGTGACATAAGAATGATACTGTTGATATTTACATGAAATGGAGGACTTAAGGTATAGTTTCCAAAGGGGATTACCAGAAGAAACTGACACAGATTTGCAAGTAAAATTAGGACTGCAACCGCAGACAGCAATCTCTGGCTTCTGAAACTATGCATCAGTCTGAGAATCTGAAACTTTCCCATGTTTTTAATTGAACTAATCATTCATAAAAGGATGTTCTTGCCCTTTTTGGTTAAACATTGGAATGAAACCACATAAGATATTTCTGAAACAAAACAAAAAAAAATTGCAAGAGCCCTGAATCTGAATCTCACTATCAAATGAAACAATGAAATTGACTGAGAACTGCCGCCAGCAATAATGAATAAACAACTGCAGATTCTTTTCCACCGCCATAAAAAAATCATAAATTGAAATCAAGGCGACAGTTTCTTTTTCAAACTAACTGTGAATACTGGATAAGTTGTCAAAACTCAAAAGATGCTTTTTGGTCTCCCTACACTAACTCCCCCCTGAGGTGTAGGCTTATTGCAAATCAAACCACGAGTTTTGGGGATAATTACATATTGTCCTTCACTAGTTCTTGCCAGACGCCTTCTAAACTCTTCTATTTGGCAGTTCACAAGACCCAAAGACTCCATCTTTTCTAGAAAAAGGACCGTTCTTTGATAAGGGAATTGATGTATCAGATCAATGGAGTAGCATTTTGGGATTTGCGTTGAAGTATTTTATTGATTTGGACGAACAATGTCAACAAATTACTGAATTAAGAAAATACAGTATAAGGGTGAAGAAAGATGCTTATTTGGTTCCATCACGCAACCATTTTGGTTAAACACCATTAAACAAATCACATCTCAGAGAGAAAAGATAAGATAAAGCCCCACCAGTCACATAATGCAAGTGTGTAGAATATTACTGATCTGGAAAGCAAGAAAATTGAAAGGAGACCTTACTTACATTTGATTAAATTGTCAACGTTTCGGATCTCAAATCTCAATCAAGTGTGATTATTGATTGCTTCATCCAAAAGGGTTTGACTTTGACGGGATAACCCTAGAATTCGTCCAACACGAAACATGTTTAAAATACATTTATCCTTCAACAACTTCAGTTCACACCTTTCTTAAAGATTCCAGTCAGTCCCTTTCAGGCATTCCCTCAATCAGCTGTTAAGCGTATTCCACAAGTATTACACCCAGCTACAAGAATAGTGTGATTCTACAGAAAGAATACAAAGTTTGGAATTTTTTCATTTTTTGCTCAACCTAAGTACAGACTGATTTGTACTAGAACTTTCCGTCAGCCCGGCTATAATATTTGTAGCATTGTCTATCGTCGACAACAAGGTGACTAATATTAAAGTTGTAAATCGATAGAAAAAAATCGTGTAGTGTCAATAACTATTCTTTAAATTTGTACTTGGAAAACTCTTTTGGACCAGATGGAATGGAGGATCATATGAAATAAGTCATACTTTACAGGAACCTCGTGCCAAAGAAAATGTTGCTGCACCATTTTCACCCTATTCTGCATCTCAATGTACTTGCTTTCCGGTATCGACAGAAGTATGTTCCTCAAGTTTGGTATATCTTCTTCCAACACAAATACCGCAAATGATTCCCATTCAAAAACATCAAACAAAGGGGGCACGTAATTATCCGCAATGATCACTGGAACACATTCGTAATATATGGATTCGATCACCCGCGGAGTATGCACCTGATAGCCCTTAGCACAGATGCAATACTTGCTGTTTTTCATGAAAGCTCTGTATCTAGCTACACTTGTTTCGTCGTGGCCTAATGGCCCGAAAATCTTCATATCCGGTTCTTTGTTGCTCCAATGCTCTATCAAGATCGGGCGAAGATCGCCGTGCAAACTTCCTGAGAAGAAGGCTAAAATATGCCTGTCTGAATAGTGACTGCCTCCAAGATCCTCCAAAGGGTTCCCTGATGAAAGAGGAACCATTGTCACAGGCAATGACACATCCCTCCCTACTTTGAAACCTTTCGCGAGATTGGAATTACAAATCGCTCTGATGCAGCTTCTCATGCTTTTGTTTGTAAAACGTAAGGCCTGTAACATAATTTTCGTTAAAAGGCAAAATGATTACCAAGTTTCAAACTATCAGTTTACTCATATAGACCAAGGTTAAAATCATGCTAGCAAAAGAAACAGAATCTCTTTTGTTCTTTGACATTTCATTCATAAACAAGAAGAGATTTTTCAACGAAACAACCATTAAGGCAGGGAGATCATGGATGACATACCCAATCATGGCAAGCAACCAGAAAATGATCAGCGCCATTTGTTCTGTTCCAGAACTTGTACTTTGAGGCAATTATTTGAACATAGTTCTCGAGATCCTGCGAACCCATAAGACTACGCAAATTCTGTCTGTAAAGAACACTCCTCAGCCTTCGGGAACTAAACGGTAAGTAAAACAAATGTGCTTTACTTGGATCCCGAACAACATAATGGCTGTTTCTTTCCATCAGTTTCATGAACCACCCTTCAGAAGAATAGATTCCTTTGAGATGAGGGTAATGAAATATTGGCTTTTGCCCCTCCTTATAGATATACACTCTCAGCATTTGTTCCATTAATTCGTAACTTCTGCCATAACCATCAAGTATCAAAAGAAATTGAAAGTCACACACATTAGAGCTACAGTCAGATATTACGAACAAAGAAGAAGTGACAGGCTAAAATACATAAGTCAGTTTGAGGCAATCCCAGAAAGAGATTAAAACCACTAAGTTATTTCAGGATCAGAATGAAACGTAAGTTACCTTATGAATGTAGAGTAATTCCGGAAAAGTGAAGCATAATTTGTGGGTGCATCTCTTATGATTGGAGCATTTTCAATCTGAATTCTCGCGTATGCAAGTTCCTTATCGCGCGCAGAAAGTTGTCGTGGCCTCTATAACAAATGAAAGTAGGGATCAGATATCCTAAACGGATTAACAACTTGAAACCATTCTTCGCAGTCGAATAAAATCATTTGGATTACCTTTGAATCAGAGGAAGGAGAACCCTGAATTAATAAGGTTTTCATGGAAGAGATTGTTATCATCATTTTACTTCTCTTATTCACCACTGGCTTACTCATCGTGGCTGAGCTTCTGTTTGAAGAAGTAGAGTCTGAATGATCAGTAATAAAAACTCCACTCCTGAATTCTTCAAGACTCAAATTTGCATCAAGGGTATTCCTTTGAGTATCATTTTCCATCAGTGCCAACTGAATTTTCCTCTGCTCTGTGGACCTGAATTCGGTTTCTGTTCCGTTATTTACTTTGATCTTCGCAAGTTCATCAGTAGTTAATTTTCCTGGAGGTAATGTTTCACTTAGAAGCTGCTGTTCTTCTTCTGTCCGAGCTTCTTCATTCGAATCAAGATCAGCAGTTTCGTGAAAGATGTCAATGCTGCCTGATTGGGATTTCTTGTCTGGAAGCCCGAAATCGCTCACTGATATAAACATTGTGCTTGTGATTTTTACATATGATGATGGAGTTAAGATATAGTGGTTTACAAATGGGATTGCCAGAAACTGAGACAGGATTGCATGTACAGTTATGATTGAAACAACAAACAGCAGTCTCCGGCTTCTAAAATTATGCATCAATCTCTCGATTCGAAACCTGTTTCCCATGTTTTTGCAAGAGATCAAGAAGATTGTCTTATCTCTTTTGGTCTGAGACATTGGAAAGAAACCGCTTAAAAGTTAAAATTACAAGTCCCTTTTTGGTTCACTGAATCTCCTTAGAAAAGTCAATGCATCAATCATTGACCAAGAACTGCAGCCAGCACTTGTGAATAAACAAACTGCATATTATTTTCCATGCGATAAAAGTGGTTAGGCTGTTACAGAAGTTTGAGGAGTATAATACTAGTTTTGTGTGACGATCAAAATAAATAGTGCTCCTACAATGTATTAAGCAATTATTTTGGGACGGAGTTAGTATTACGAACTTATATATGTGCATGCATAATGTTAATCTCGGAATTGGTAGCCTAGAAGCTAAGTAGTTGAGTGCCTGTTTCGGTTATTTTCCGCCAAAGGACTAATAAGAATTAAACTGACAAAATTGACTGTGTAAACAAGTGAAGTGGTTCTTATCATATTCATTAGTTCAGGGAATTTATGAATAAAGGATGTTTCCACAATCTCCTGAAGTCCTTATCGCTTACCGCCTTCTGAGAGGAAATCTTTCGAATGCAGTATCAGTTTTTATTTAAATTTCTAAAAGAACTGGAAGAACATGACTTGGTTGGTGAGTTGGAAGAAATAAGTAATACAAAAGAACACCAAGTTGGAACTTGTTGAAGTTCTAGTGTAATTCACAAAGTCAGCAGATTCCTGAAATATAAAAATCAGATGTTGTGTCATTTAAGAAAGTGTAGATGCTTATTTTGTTCATACACAGAATCGATGGCTTAACCACCGCAAATAATGACTTCTTCTTAGAGAAGAGGAAAATAAGAGCGTTGACTAGAACCTTACAAGAATGTCAGCGTTTTCGGACATTCTGAACTCAAGTCTCCAACATATTATTGCTTTGATCATTTATGTTCACCTTTTAACTTTCTTTTTGGGTTTTGTTTAATGGCCTGAATGATTGGAAATGACTAATGTAATGTGTAGTGACCATACAAGGAATTGTTGCCTTTTAAACTTTTACTTGGAAAACTCTTTTGTACCAGATGGAATGAAGAATCATATGGAAAATGTTAAATTTGACAGGCTCTTTGTGCCAGAGAAAATGATGTTGCACCAACTTTACCCTATTCTGCATCTCAATGTACTTGCTTTCAGGGGTATGGAGAGCAGTATGTTCCTCAAGTTTGGTATATCTTCTTCTAACACAAACACTGCAAATGTTTCCATTCAAAGACATCAAACAAAGGAGGCACGTAATTATCTGATGTGATCACTGGAACGCATTCGAAATTAATGGATTCGACCACCCGCGGACTGTATACTTCATTTCCCCTGGCACAGATACAATACTTGCTGTTTTTTCATGAAATCCCTGTACCTAATGGCCCAACGATCTTCATATCCGATGTTTTGTTGTCCCAATGCTTTAGCAAGATCGGACGAAGATTACCATGCATCTTTCCTGAAAAGAAAGCTAAAATATGCCTCTCTGAAGGAGGCTTACCTCCAAGATCCTCCAAAGGGTTCTTTTTGCTAACCATGGTCGAGGGCAGCGAGACATCCTTCCTTATTTCAAAACCTTGAGCTGGATTGGAATTGCAAACAGCCTCTGATGCAGCCCTTCATGCTTTTCCTTGTGAAGTTTAAGGCCTGCTACATATATTTGTCATTAGGGGGGAAAATTTAATCTTCATGTTCAAACTGTCAATGCTCCAGCACAATGTGCACACAAATGAACTAGTATTTACTACCTGAAGCGAGCTGATACCTCCCTATTCGGATCTAACAATTATTTATGTTTAATATTTCCTTCAGAAACAAGAAGATGAACTTTTAGGGTGACACACACATACCCAATCATGGCAAGCAACAAGAAAATGATCAGCTCCGTTTGTTCTGTTCCAGAAGTTGTACTCTGCAGCAATGATTTGAATGTAGTTTTCGAGATGATTCTCCACGTACCCGTAATATGGAATATTCTGCTCATGACACACAGTCCTGAGCCTTCTTGAACTAAAGGGTATATAAAACAGGTGTGCTTTTCGGGATCCTGAACAACATATTGCTTATTTTTCTCCAGCAGTTCCATGAACCACCCTTCAGAAGTATAGACTCCTCTGAGATAAGGATAATGGAATATTGGCTTTTGCCCCTCCTTGTAGATATAAACTCTCAGCATCTGTTCCATTAATTCATAACTTCTGCCACAACTCGCAAGGATCAAAAGCCATTGAAAATTACACATTAGAGTTGAAGAGTTACAAGTTGTGCAACAAAATTGGCTAATCAGTTTAAAATCCCTGACCTATTTAAGGATGTACATACAACTAAAGTTACCTTATGAAGGTAGAATAATTTCGGAAGAGAGATGCATAATCTTTGGGAGCATCTGTTATGATGGGAGCATTTTCGATCATAAGTCTCACATTTAGAAGCTCCTTATCAGGCGTAGAAAGCTGCCACAGCCTCTACAAATGAAAGTAGAGATCAAATAAGCTTTGATACACTGAGGTCAAGAGCCATGAAATATCTGCCAAGACTGCCTTAGTCACACAGCTTCCATATTAGTTACCTTTGAATTATAAGTAGGAGACCCCTGAAGCAATAAGGTTTTCATGTAAGAGATTGATGTTGTCATTTTACTGCTTTTCTTCATTACTGTTTCATTAAATGCAGCTGAGCTTTTGTTTGGTAAAACCACAGCAGTATGGAGTAAGTCAACATATGGTAGAGATGTATCTGAAGTTTGATAAATGGACTCTGAATGAGTAGCGAAAGGCATTGGTGATGCAAATGCAACTTCACTTCTGAACTCTTCAGCACTCTAATTTGGATCAAGGGTAAGCCTCCAGTACCCTTTTCCATGTATGTTGTCTTCTGAATTCTTCTTTGCTTTGTGACTGCATATTCGGATTTTAAGCCCCCATGCACAGCAGTGAATTCTGCTATGTTATTTGTCCTCACCTTTGCAACTTCATCACTTGTGGATTCCCTGGCAGATGTTAATTCTTTGGACTGAGCTTCTTCATCTAAAGCAGAATCGACAGTTTCATGACTGGCCGACGGACACATAAATGATGCTGGTGATATTTACATGTGACAGAGTTAAGGAGTATTTTCCAAATGGGATTACCAGAAACTAAGACAGAATTGCAAGTATACTTAAGACTGCAACCACAGATAAGAATCTGTGACTTCTGAAATTATGCATCAGTCTGTCAATCTGAAGCCTGTTCCCCATGTTTACATGAACTAATCATGCATACACAGGTTAACTTTCTCTTAGGTGAAACACTGGAAAGAAAATTCAGAAGTGCACCATAATTCTCATTTGTCAACTTTGCACCATTATATGACAACCAACTTTCAAAGTCAATGCATCAATCATTTTCAAAGAACCGCAGCCAGCAATAAACAACTGCAAATTAATCAAAGACCAACATTCTTTCCAACTTAAGTGGTTAGGTTTTGCCAACATGTTCACTTAATTGCACTGACAATGACAAGGAACGTGATAAACAAGAAGAAAGATACCGGGGAAAATTTTTACAGAAAATTTTATCTGTTCTTTTAAGCGCATTTCCTCGACCAGTAAGTTGGTAAGCATATTCTGTAAGTAATGCACTGCCATCAAAATTTTTGAACTTCCTTATTTTGTTATTATATAGTCAATAGTTGCCTCTCAATTTATAAGAAGGTAGATGCTTTATGTAGTTAATATTTTGTATTATCACTCAATCGGTTGATTGGCCTCTTGGGCCTTGGCACAAGCAAGAAACAAAGTTTTATATACAACAACTGACCTGAAAAGCAAGAAAATAAGCAGATTTGAAAAAGAACCTTAACAAGAATATCAACATTTTGGACCTAAAGTCTCAATAATGTATGATTGCTTGATCCTTCATATGTTTAAGATAGAATTAATGTAAGTTGAGTAATACACATTCAACAGAAAGGGTTGAATGTTCAATGTTTAGGAGAAAAGTGACCCATTGAACATGTACAGATTTCATTGCACTTTTTGGCTCAACCAAAATGTATTCCATAAGAATATTGTTTTCCTTCAAATTTTGATCTGAAACACTCTTTTGTGCCAGATGGAATGGAGGATCATATGAAATAAATCATACTTCACAGGCTTTCTGTGCCAAAGAAAATGTTGTTGCACCATCTTTACCCTACTTTGCATTCTGATGTACTTATCCTCAGGTATGGACAGAAGTATGCTCCTCAGGTTTGGTATATCTTTCTCCGGGACAAACACTGCAAAGGATTCCCATTTAAAAATGTCATAGAAAGGGGGTACATAATTATCTGCTATGATCACTGGAACACATTCATAATATATGGATTCGATCAGTCGTGGACTGTACACTTCGTAGCCCTTAGCACAGATGCAATATTTGCTGTTTCTCATGAGCTCTTTATATCTTGCTACACCTACAGCATCATAGCCTAATGGCCCAAAAATCTTCATATCTGAGGTTTTGTTGTTCCACTGCTTCAGCAATGTCGGACGAAGATCACCATGCAACTCTCCAGAGAAGAAAGCTAATGTATCCCTTTCTGGAGGGTTACTACCTCCAAAATCCCCCAAAGGTTTCTTTGAATGATGGACCATGGTCGCAGGCAGTGAGACATCTTTCCCTATTTGAAAACCTTCAGAGGGATTGGAATTGCAAACTGCTCTGATGCCGCCCTTCATGCTTTTCCTTGTGAAGTTTAGGGCCTGTAACATGTATTTTTCTTCAAGAATGAACTACTTTAATAAGATCATATTCAAACTACCAAGGCTCCTGCACAAAATACATCTGACTAGGTACTGATCTACAGCTTATGTAGATCCGAGTTAAGTCACAGAAGCATATGGAGTTATATATACTCAAAAGATATACTTTTTCATATTTCATTCATAAACAGGAAGATGAGTTATCAAAACAGTCACAAAAGGTGGAAAACATACCCAATCATGGCAAGCAACAAGAAAATGATCAGCTCCTCTTGTTCGGTTCCAGAAACTGTACTTTGCAGCAATGATTTGAACGTAGTCCTCGAGATGATTATCCACATCGCCGTCCCTTGGAACATCATGCTGCAAAAGCACTCTCCTCAGCCTACGCGAACTAAGTGGTACGTAAAACAAGTGCGCTTTACTGGGATCCTGAACAACAAAATGCTTATTTCTTTTCAGCAGATGCATGAACCACCCTTCAGAAGCATAGATCCCTTTGAGAAAAGGGTCATGGAATATTGGCCTTTCCCCCTCCTTGTAGATGTAAACTCTCAGCATCTGCTCCATTAGTTCATAACTTCTGCCAGAGGTCACAAGGATCAAAAGCAATCGAAAGTCACACATTAGGAGCTACAGTAGACTTTAGCATGCTATGAAGTAGAGACACAGATATCAGTTTGAAGTTATCACAGTGCTGAAGTCCTAACCAATATTGAAGATGTACATCAAATTAAGGTTACCTTACAAAGGTAGAGTAATTCCGGAAAAGAGATGCATAATTCAGGGGAGCATCTCTTATGATCGGCGCATTTTCAATCTGAATTCTGGCATTTAAAAGCTCGATATCAGGCATAGAAACCTGTTGCGACATATCAAAGCAGGGATCAGATATGCTCCACAAATTAATAACTGAAACCCAATGTTCTTAGTCAAATGAATTTCTTATTACATACCTTTGGATTAGAGGAAGGGGACCCACACGTTGAGGTTTTCATGTAAGGCATTTTACTGCTTTCCCTTATCAGCGTTTCACTGATCTTAGCTAACTTACTGTTTCCTGAAATATAAGCAGTAGGTAGTAAGTCATGCTCATTTGGTTTCAATGTGTATTCTGAAACTTCAGAAATGGACGCCAAATGAGTTGCAAAGGGCTTTGGCGACAGGAGTTTAGCTTGACTCCTGATTCCTTCTTTACTTACTTCATTGGCATCAAGGGTAAGCTTTACAGTATCATTTTCCTTGTAGGTATCTAGATTTCTTCTCTGACCTTTGAGGCTGAATTTGGCTTCAAAGCCCTCATCCTGTAGGGAACCATATTTCCTTCTGTTATTTATCTTCATTTTTACAAGCTCGTCAGTCATTGATATCCTGGAAGATATCATCACTCCCCTTTGAAGCTTCTTTTCATTTCCTTCTGACCAAGCCTGTTCATTTGAATCAAAACGAGCTGTTTCATGAAAGATGTCGATACTAGCTGATTGCGATTCATTGTTTAAAAGCGCGGAATTGTTCACAGATACAAACATGCTGTTGTTGATATTTACATGTGATGATGGAGCTAAAAATGAGACTGCAAGAAATTGAAACAAAGTTGCATGTATAGTTAAGAGTGCAATAAAAGACAGCAATCTCTGACTTCTAAAACTACGCCTTTTTCCCATGTGTATCACTGGCATACAGAAGTTTTTGGTGGATTAACCACCTTAGTCGACCTTCTTTAAGTACTAATAAGCCATGAGTACACTAAAAATTTCTCATTTGTCGATTTTGCGCCACTATTTGACAGTTTAACCACCGACTCAAGGATCTCAGGCTGCAATAAACAAGTGCAGATTCTTCCCCATGCTAGAAACACCATCAATATGAATTCAAGAAAACAGTAGTTCCACCCAACTAAAAGTGGTTAGGTCGTCACAAAGATTTTAGTTCCGTTGCAGTCATGAGGAAAAATCAATCCACAACAATAAAGAAGCTAGTGGTTAACTGGAAAAACTTTTCCAAGAAACAAAACGTTATTCTTCCGTCTTTTTGTCTACCATGAAGAAAACCTTCATTCTGCTCTAAAACTATGCCACATTTATATACCACTATTATTAATACCTTCATTCTGCATTACATTATGTAATATGTACATGGAAGCATTATGCTCCCAACAGTTCGCACTTACTGAGAGTTTGTGGTGATTTTTGTCATTTTTCACCACCCATTTCATATAAAAATATAACTCATCTGGAAAGCAAGAAAATAATAAATGTTGGAAAGAACCGTACAATGCGTGATCCTTGATGAGATACATTAGTAAGACCAAAAACTGAAACTGTTGACTTTAACGGGATAATGGTTGTTTGCTGAAGGCTCAAGTACCTACCTCATATTCCCTAATTATTAGCAGGAAAGTGAGCTTAGGTTTATCCATCTGTTGTACCAATCAACAAACAGGACATTTAGTTTGACTGGGGGGAGTATAAAATATCCCTCATTTTCAACACATTTTACTAGTACCTTGATTCAACTATCATTAGGGCATTCTTTATTAAGCTCTTTTAAAGATTTATTTATTTTTATATTTTTTTTGGCACGTCACAGGACGTTCACCCTTGACAACATCGGCTCATAAAACAAAAGATTAATACACATTTAGATTAATCATCACCAGATGATATCACAAGAACCTAGTATCGCAACAAATGCACAGAAATGATATTACAGGAGCATGGAGAATTTACACTAAGCATCACAAGAACTATAACATTCCATGTACAATATACAGAAAAGACTGTTCCTTTGAGAGGGAAGTTAGATTACATGTAATCCATCAAACCCCTGATTCAGATTCCACTCAAGATGCACGGATAGTATTTCATGAATAAATGATCTCACCTAAAAATTCCACCGGCTTCTTCCCAGTGCCGCATCATTACCATTATTTCCTAAGTGAAGCTGAAAATGGTGTTCAACCATGGTATGCTGGCACTGTAATAGCAATGAGATTCTGTAATCTCTTGGTCACATGAATCTTCATGGGGCTCAAACCTTTTGGCTAACTCACTTCATCATCGTGATTTTACTCGGAAAACCCTGTTGTACCATATTGAATGAAGGATCATATGAAATAAGTCAAATTTGACAGGAATTTTGTGCCAGACGAAATGCTGTTGCACCAACTTCAGACGATTCTGCATTTCCATGTATCTTTTCTCAGGAATTGAGAGAAGTATGTTCCTCAAGTTTGGAACGTCTGCTTCCAATACAAAGACAGCAAATGACTCCCAATTCAAAATCTCAAAGAAAGGGGGTACATAATCATCTGATATGATCACTGGAACACATTCGTAGTAAATGGATTCTATAACGCGTGGTGTGTGGACCTCGTAACCCCGAGCACAAATGCAATATTTACTACTCTTCATAAACTCTCTATACCGAGCTTTACCCTCAGAATCACGAGACATTGGCCCAAAAATCTTCATATCTGGCTCCTTATTGCTCCAATTTTGAAGCAAGATGGGACGAAGGTATCCGTGCATGCCTCCTGCAAAGAAAGCTAAGATAGGCCTCTGTAAAGGGTCATTCCCTCCAGTATACTTCCCAGGATTCTCTGCAGAACGAATATATGTCACTGGAAGAGATACATCCTTCCCTATTTCAAAGCCTCTAGCAATGTTGCAGTTGCAAAGGGCTCTTAAGCAGCTTCCCATACTAGACCTTGTCAAACGAGGAGCCTGTAAAAGTTCTTTTTCATCAGTAAACCAGCTGTTGATGATCAATTACCAACGCAAACTAAAGACATGCATGCAAAAGATCCAAGTAAAAAGACAGTTCCGATTACTTAGGCAGTTACAGAGGACTGAAAATACTGTCACCAGGTACTAATACTAGGTGATGAACATCTTACCCAATCATGGCAAGCAACCAGAAAATGATCAGCTCCACCAGTTCTGTTCCAGAAAACATACTTTTTGGCAATGCTATGTATGTAACTGTTCAGAAGATTCTCTAAATCCTTCTGACTTGTAAAATTCTGTTGATGGAGCATCTCCCTTAGCTTTAGTGTGCTAAAAGGTAAATAAAACAAGTGTGCCTTTTTTGGATCCCGCACGACAAATTTTCTATTTCCTTCCATCAATTTCAGGAACCACCCTTCGGAAGCATAAATTCCTCTGAGATATGGTTGATGGAATATTGGCTTCTGACCCTCCTTATAGATGTACACTCTGAGCAGGCGCTCCATTAATTCGTAGCTTCTGCCACAATATTAGCATGAATCAATCGAACTTAACTGTAAAACTATTAAGAAAAAAAAAAAAAAAAGAAGTGAACTTCGCTTCAAATTCACATCATTCTTCATCAAAGTAATACCAAGTACTGCGTACTGACTGCTTCTAATAAAATCAAAGAAGTGATAAGGCAAGGTATTCTCATTCATATAGTCAGACAATATAAAAAATCCAGATTCCAGATACTGTATTTGAAAATTATACAGATATTCAGGCTTAGGATAAAAATGGAAACTAAGTTCAATTTTCAGGAATTTAACTTTCTTTGAAGTTTCTTTTGGGCAAGTAGGGCAGGTGTGAGCAACACTTTGGTCCCAGCAGGAATTTGAATTGCTGTGAATTTTTCTCTCCATGTAAACATTTTATATGACAAGGTATTTGGATCTTTTACTTGCCAATGTTTTATGCCTGATTCGCAAGCAGATTGGACAAGATGGTTTATGCCACAAACTATGCAACAGTGGTAGAGAAAGAACTAACCTCATGAACATGGAGTAATTTCGGAAGAGAGAGGAATAAGCATAAGGAGCATTCCTGATAATAGGAGCTCTTTCAATCTCAAATCTTGCATTTTGAAGCTCCTTATCACGAGCAGATAATATTTGTGACCTCTGTAGTAGATACAAATTGGATATCATATCAACCTCAAGATATTCACAGCTAATTTTCATGGTGAAATAAAGTGGTATTCAAATATACCAATAAAGTTGCAGAAGTAAGGCTCTGATGCAATAAGGTATTCATATCAGAAATTGAAGTTGGCTTCCTCTTGCTCTTCCTCCAGATAGATGTAGCAGCTAATGCTAAGCTATTGTCTGGTGAAACAGAACCATTTTGTAGTAAGTCCTCAACTTTATTAATGGATTGCACATTGAGATCTTTCTGGTTGTCGTTTAATGAAGTCATGTTGGTTGCAGGAAGTGGCATTGAAGTAGTTACACTATCGGGTATAAACGCCAAATAACTTTCAGTGGTACTAGCCTTTGGCTCCTTTACCTTCTCTTTTAAGTCAAATCCAGCTTCTACACTGTTCCAAAGAGAATGATTCTCTGTTGTCTCAAATTCCCCCGTACTCACAATCTCATTAGATCCTAATTTGCTGTCAGATGTGAAATGACCAGGCAACTTTTTCTCATCTTCAAGTAAAGCACCTGTCTGCCCCTCTTGCGAATTGTTGTAGAATCCGTAACTTTGGCCTTCTCCCTTTCCTTGAAAAGCTTCTTGATCCCGACCAGATTCAGGGTTAGTGACCTCAGAATGAAGAATGTCAGCATCGTCAAGTGGTGGTTCTTTTGAAAGGGTGGCATTATTAACTGTCACAAACATCATACTGATATTTGCGGGCGATAGAAGTGAGACATAGTATTCATGCGGGGCTACTAACAGCTGAGAAATAACCAATAGTAAAATGGTCACTAAAGCACCCGCATACAACAACCTCAGTCCTCTAATTTGACGAATTCTCTCGACGTGAAGCTTGCTCGCCATGCTAACACTTCTCCTGAAGATAGGGATTACTCACACATGAGCCAACTTTGTTGAGAAACTGACAAATTCTTCTGAAAAAACCCCATGTCCTAAAAAAACACATATCAAAGAAATCAAAGCTTAAGTTAGCTCTTAGTTATCCAACATACAGATGTCAAAGCCTATAAAGATTTAAACTTTTTAGATCAATCAGAAGAACCTGATCAAATTTAAGTAATGCCCAATCAGGGTTTAGGAATTAAAAGTCAGCTAAATAGTAGCTCTAGGTCTGTACAACCTATTTCAGCCTCAACCATGATCCAGGAACCTCAGCTCTAATTTTGTTCAAATTATTCTGGGTTCTTAAGATAATACTAATGAATGAAGTTGATGTCGGTCTGTTTACTATTGAAATGTAGATTCACAATTTCATAGTTCAATAATAGCATAATGCAGTTAAGCTGCGCAACAAGATTCCACTTTGTTGTAGCATAATCAAGTACAAGAAAACTACTCTTCATAAGAAGCTCAAATAAATCACAAATCATCTCTTGAAGTGCAATAAGTTGGAGGTTACCTGAAAAACACAGATGAAAAATTGGGTTCTTTCCGCTGCTCTGATTATTGAAGAGAAGAGTTTAACTTCGCTCAGTTAACAAGAGTTAAAGCCCAAGAATGTGACAGCGGACGACGTCGTATTATTTCGTAGTAATATTGTCTGTTTTTTCAAATAAAAAAGAAAAAAGATTGATTTTTTTCCTACCGAAAGTACCCCTTTTGGCGTAATCAAATCAAGAACTCATCTTCTTCCACACATAAACAGACGCAGAGTAGAGAGCCAAATGAAGCTCTCAGAAAAAATCATGTCTTGAGAGTCTTGGAGCTTCTTCGAGCTTCATGCAGTATTCAAAGAGCTTCATTTTTCATGAACCATCTAAAGAAATGGCCTCTAGACCTCTGATTCAGTTCCCAGCATTCGCCCCAACTCCAATTCTCCCGCCTCACCACCGTCCCGCCACCGAAGTCCGCTTCTCACGGTGGAACAACGCCAACGCCGAGAAATTCAATCAAAAAAGAAGAACCCAGAAGGAAATTGAAGACCAGCTTCGTTTCAAGAAACGCTATGATTCTGCCCTTAGCATTGCCCAAAGTTATAGTCCCGCCCCTCCTACTCCAACCTTCAAGTCCACCGGCACCCCTTCCTCCCCTTCCAAGCCTTCAATTCCCGGTAAAAAATCAAAATATTCGAAAAACCCAGAAAATTCTGTTGACGTTCATCCTGCGTTTAAGCCCCTTTTGAAACAAAGAAGATTCAAAATGAGAAGACCCACTGGAACTTCATTAAAGGAAGATGAAGGAAAAGAGAGTGAAATTGAAGAAGAGTATACGGCTAATGTTAAAGTTGATGAGAATGGACTGGCGTATGAATTCCCTGACGCCCCATTTGTGTATCAGTACAGTTATACTGAGACGCCAAAGGTGAAGCCGGTTGGGATTAGGGAGCCGCTTGTGGCGCCATTTGAGCCTCCGACCATGGGAAGGCCGTGGACTGGACGGAAGCCTCTGCCACCCAGTAAAAAGAAGCTGCCAGAATTTGATTCTTTTAAGCTTCCGCCGCCGAATAAGAAGGGCGTGAAGACTGTGCAGCCCCCCGGCCCATACTTGCCTGGATCAGGACCAAAGTATGTTAGGTCCAGAGAGGAAGTATTGGGGGAGCCATTAACTAAAGAGGAGGTCAAAGAGCTTGTGGAAAGCTGCAGGAAGTGGAAGCGCCAATTGAATATGGGTATGTTATCATGGGAAACTTATTTGAGTTTTGTTGATGCTTACAGTTCTTTGAAAGAACGGGATTTTTTGTTTTCGTTGATGAAGTTATTTGCTTTCTGCATTTAGTTGATGTCTGAATTTCCACTGATGATCAAAGTGGCTGAACAAGCATTTGCTTTAGTTGGTTTTAATCGATTGCATTTAGATTAGAGTTCACTTTGTATCATGTGCAAATTAAGCTTCATTTATTTGGATACATTTTTGCCGATTCTGTTTGAGGAATTGCTGCTGGTTTGGGTAAATTATTTTGATTTGTTGAAATTAGAGTAAGATCATATGTTGTTTTGATCATGTTGTGGCCCTTCTGAAAGAAGATTTTGTCACTTGTTAGGAAGAGATGGTTTCACGCACAACATGTTGGAAAATATACATGCTCATTGGAAGCGACGAAGAGTGTGCAAGATAAAATGCTTGGGAGTGTGCACTGTAGACATGGACAATGTTCGCAAACAGTTAGAGGTTGGAATTCCTGAACGTATATGGTCTTTTCCATTTAGTGTCGTTGTTCTGTTGTCTGGCCCCTTAAAACAACTCCGGCTTAGAATGAGCATCGTCGCTGTATCCTTTTGATAGCATATATCAGGGGATGTAATGTGTGCTCAAATGTTCGCAATAGCTGTTCTCTCTTCATCTTCCTTCAGTACTTGTAGCCTAGCTTATTACAGTGCTTACCAGACATGTAGGCAAATGATGATTCTCTACTATTTATAATTGAAAATAAATAGAGTGCAGCACTCAAGAAAATGATTGTTCTCTTGAGGAGAGTTTTAGTGCCAAGGTGAATTTGAATGATGTGCCTTATATTGCCTAAAGCCACTCCTCCTGTTGTTTTTCAAGGCATGGTGAGAAGTATCAGGACACAAATGTATCATGTGCTGAACATGAAGCATATAGATTTGTTTTTTAAAAAAAGTAAGAAAATGTAATTTTCAAATTTGGCTAGCTTGTAAAAGTTAGGTTCCTTTCACCTTGTTTTTATGTTTGGAGATAGCTGCTGTGGTAGATGGTTTTGTGACTGTGCCCTAGATTAATGTCGCCATTGAAGCATGGTAGATCGTGAAAATTGCTGTTTCAATTGCTTTAGGTGGCTACATTGGCAGGTTTCGTTTCCTTTCTGAAAAGAGTTCATGGTTCAGCTACATATTTCTTATGAGGTTCAACTATATACAGGATAAAACCGGGGGACAAGTCATATACAGCAGAGGGGGAGTAATATACCTGTTCCGTGGTAGAAATTATAATTACAAACATCGACCACGATTTCCTCTCATGTTGTGGAAACCTGTTACTCCTGTGTATCCGAGGTTGATAAAACAAGTCCCAGATGGTTTGACTTTAGAAGAAGCAACCCAAATGCGTAAAAAAGGTCGCAATCTGGCACCAATCTGTAAACTCGGTAAGTCATCTTCGCTTTCGATCTGCATACAATTTCAGAGACCAGTTTTACCTTTGCATCTTGGGATAACTGGTGGTGTTTCTTGCAGGTAAAAATGGTGTTTATTGTGATCTCGTTAAGAATGTTAGAGAGGCATTTGAAGCCTGTGAATTAGTAAGAATCAATTGTCAAGGTCTCAATGCGAGCGACTATCGTAAAATAGGTGCAAAATTAAAGGTCAGGAACAGTACTATAGAAATTTACCTGCTTAAAATTCAATTGGGGAGAAGGAAATCATGACTGTTCCTACTCTGAGTGCAGGATCTTGTTCCATGTGTTCTAATATCATTCGAGAATGAACACATTCTCATGTGGAGAGGACAAGATTGGAAGTCCTCCTTGGCAGAGACAAAAAATGATGTGGACAGAGTTGAGGAACTCGAAGCTAATACTGCAAACAGCATTGGGCCAATTGTAGAATCCCAAACAGGGCTCGTGACAGCTTCTGCTTCAAATGCCATGGTTCCAATGGCATTGAAGACCAGCACTGAAGAAATCAGCCAAAATCTTGATATTTTGAGTCTTGAAGATGTGGAAACAGATGGGAATAGTGTTCGTGGGGAAGAGTTGGATGGTGATCTCGCCACTTCAGTAGATTCTACGACACATTCAGCAGAATTTGAGATTGATGGGAGTCAAAAGTCGCAATTGCAAGTCAGGGAACTTCAAACTGATGCTGCAGCCTCTGTTGAAGGCGAAATCGAGTTTTCGATGGCCTCAGCTTCAACTATTACAGCCCCAACAGAGACAATTTCTGAAGATATCGACAGAAACAGTGATTATTTAAGTGTCAAAAATGTGGAACCAGAAGGAAGCAGGGATCACAAGAGAGAGATGGTTGATGAGGCTATGGCTTCAGTCGATTCTGGGATACTTTCTCAATGTGATTCAGACTCTTTGACAGATTTTAAGGGGAACAATGAAGTATCTGAGGTTTCAAACACTTATCCAAACGACACCACTCTCTTTCCTCCAGGATCTGAAAGCATGGGTGGAAGCAATATTAGGGATGATGACCATTCAGAACCTCTGGCTATTGCTCCTTTGACTTCCAATAATTTTGAAGATGCATCTGAAGACAAAATGTCTATTGGTAAACTTTCAAAACCAATGGCCCCTGTGTTAGAAGGGGTCCATCTTCTTCTCAAGATGGCTGTTGAAAATGGCAGTGCTATATTGTTGGATGATTCGAATTTGGATGCCGATTTGGTTCATGAAAAAGCTGTTACTCTTGCCAAGTCTGCTCCACCAGGGCCTGTTTTTCAGCATCGACTTAAGAAGGTAGAGGTTCAAGGATGTGATGAGCAACCAAATGACGATTTCACAATGCAAAAAGCTGCCAAAGCATCAGAACATAGAGTTACGGTTTCAAACAAGCGAGGTACAGGGAAGAAGAATTCCAAGAAACAAACCACTAAGGACATTCGGTCTGATTATCTAAATGTTGCGCCGCAGGGTACCCTAAGAGTAGATGAACTGGCTAAATTGTTAGGTTAGTGTAAGTGTTTACTATTTGCTTCGTCTATCCTTCACTTTTCTTCTCTTCTTATCAATTAAAAGGGCTGTAGGCTCGATGGCTGGAAATTAAGGATGGAGTAGCCAAGTAGGAATTCGGTAGAGGGTAATGGAATGAGTTTCGGTAAAATAGTGCGCTTTTATCTTACAACTGTATAAAAGCATTGTCCACGAATTTTGTAGTCTCTTTCCTGATTGATAATACATCTTTAATTAATGGAAAAGGAAGATTTTTCTCTTTATTGATTTAACTGAGGCCAAAGGCCTTGGATCTTCATTGTACACATTAAAAACCTTGCAAGAAAGTTTTATTAATGGAAGTATCCGGTGTCGCAGAACCAACATGCGTGTTTTTGCAGGTCCATTATCAGCTACTGTGTTGCCGGCCTTCTGCAGATGCTGCAAAACAGTTTCCCTGTCTTTGTTCCGAAAGAGATAAGAAGCTTTTCACTCTTGCATTGATGATATCGTTAACATGTTTTTCTTTTCTGAATCACTAGGAAAACTAATGGGAGTAAGAGGCACAGAACAGATTTCTGAGTTGGAACTGTGTTAAAAAGATTTTAATGTCAGGTTTGGGGAGTTTTTTTTTTTTTTTTTGAACCCAAACCAAAAGTAGACATACAACTTCAATGTTGAAAAACCAAACTGGAGAAACAAGTACTGTAGCATATTTCTGAACGAGGCAAAATTAGAGATAAATCTTATATATCAAACTTGAACAGATAAATCGTACGCCAGGTAAAAAGAATATACCCTCTAACTTATCAGAATTGAAAAGGAAAACCAAGTCCATCAGCCACCGCCAAGAAACAATTTTGTGATAAATACAAATAAAAGAGTGATCCCATGGGGATCCTATTCTCTATTGTTCAGGTTTTTTATTCATTTCGGTTCCATTTTCATAGTCCTCGGGCTTGCAGTAGTGCTTCCAAACTGGATGAGTTTGCCAGAGCAAATATATTTCTTCAATGGGGACCTGTTTTGTTTCTGGCAACAGGAAGTAGACGAACAGGCTCATGATAACAATCAGACCCGCGAAGATCAAGAAGATACCGAACTTGAACAAGCACAGTGCACTGAGGAAAAACTGAGCCACGAGAGCTGTAAAGAGCATGTTAACACTGACGACCATAGCTTGGCCAGCTGACCTTGTCTCCAGGGGAAAGATCTCGCTGGGTACTAACCAACCCAAAGGACCCCAAGACCTTCCATAAGCCAGGACGAACAAGAAGATCATGACCACCAGGAAGGCGCTGAGTGGTGTGGAGAAGTGATGATTATGTTTTCCATCCCCGAATTTCAGTCCCAGGGTAATGCCAACAGCAATCTGCAAAAATCAATCAATCATGTCAGGTAACTGAAAAACTTCCAGAAGCATATTATAATTATTTTCTTCGAATAGCACTTAGCAAGAGAATAATTACCATGCAGATGATCATCTCGGTACCAGCTTCCAAAAAGAATTTCCTCCTACCAAACTTGTCGACAAGGAACATGGAGATCAAGGCAGCTAGGACTAATGCACCATTTGAAATAACCGATGAATACAGGGATGCATCTGCACCAAAACCCAAGCTCCGGAAAATGACAGGGGCATAGAAAAGAATGGAGTTATTGCCAGTGAGTTGTTGGAATGCTGGAATGCAAAAGGCGCCGATGATCAACTGAGGGCGGTTCTTTCTTTTGAACAGATTCCTGAACGGATGCTTCACAGCCTGTGCTGCCTTGCTTGCGTCTATGAGATCGGCGAATTCAGCATCCACATTTGGTGTGCCACGCACTTTCTCCAAAACCCTTCTGGCTTGACCCAGTTTTCCCTGTTCAACAAGGCTGTTTGGGGTCTCCGGAAGAAAAAGTCCACCAACAAACATAAGAGAGGCTGGAAGTGCAGCCAAACCAAGGCACAACCTCCAACCCCATGGATGTTTGTTTTGGAAAACATAGTCTATCAAGTTGGCTACCAGAATTCCCAAACAGGTTGTGAGTTGAAACAGTTGGTTAACCATTCCTCGGATTTTAGCTGGTGCCATCTCCGAAAGATACAGAGGCACAGACTGCCAACAACAAATAATTGTAAATTCTAGGAATACATTCTGTTATAATATTCAGGAACACGATATGTGAGCAATAATGACTTACTTGATTTCCAAAACCAATGCCAAATCCAAGAAGGCATCGACCAACGATGAGCATGGCAACATTCTTCGCCGCTGCATTTACAAGCCCTCCGGCAAAGAAGCTGACTGATCCGACAAGGATGCTGGCCCTCCTTCCGAAATTTCTGGTCACACGTGAGGCCACCGGAGTGATCACAAGTGCGGCATAGTACAGGGAGGAGGTGAAGAACGTCAGAATCTGATCTTCATATTTACAGTAATCGGTTTCATCATGATGCTCTTGTGACCTCCTGTACACATGTGGGAAGAATTCCTTCAAGAAGTCATCCATTGATGTGACTCCTCCTGAAAACACCATCCAAAACCATTTATGAATTTTTGTTCTGCACCTGATCTGTAGTTTCAGAAACTAGCAGCACATGAGTCTATAAGTTCATTCTTTTCCTTTTCCATTTCCATGGTAACAGAATCATTCATTGAATTAAACATAGATTCAGAAAATCTTATGTGATCCTTCAAATTCTGTAGTTTATTCTCCATGAACTGTTTTCTTTTCAGAGCAAAACATTCTGAATGAACCTCATGGTATTTTATGAAAACTATAAAAAGGACTGAAATCTATGCAAATCAAAGCATAAAAACACCAGAGTGAAAGTGAACAACAAATCCAAACGAGAATCTAAGTTAAAAAAAAAGGGTCTGACAATGCCAGCAGGACATGAAAATGACAAGAAAAGCAACCCAGAAAAAGCAAAAAAGCATTCCACAGATCAAGCAAGCACCAATGATGGTGTTGATTCACACCAATCAAACAATAAAATAAAAAAAATAAAAATAAAAAAAAAAGAAACACTGAAACTCTTAACCAACAAGAAATGAAAAAATCTAACCCGAAACTCCCAAATCATAACCAAAGAGGGATCCTCCCAGAGAACCAACAATACAAGCGAAAATGAAATAAGAAGTGATCCTATATTCATAATGAGCTGCCCTTGCTCCTCCCTTCTCATCAATAAATCCTCCTCCAGCCATGATGATTAATCAATCAAGCTACTTTCTTTTTTCCTTTCTTCTTCAAATTCAAGTGATAACTATCTCTTTTTCCTACATAAAAGAAAAAAAAAAAAAGGGATATTTGTCTCTTCTTTCCTTTGGTTTAACACCAAGAAGAAAAACAAAACAAAGAGACAATCTTGAAATATAAAAGGGTTGGTGTCAAAAAGAATTGAATGTGGATTACATTATATAGAGATTCTGATTTGAAAAAAGGGAACTGAAATGAGGGAAAGAAAATAAAAAAAAGGTTGTTATTTTGGATAAAGATAGAACTACTCAATCTTCGGAGAAATCAGAAATGCATGCTTCTTTCTAGTAGTTGATGTTGAAGAAGAACATTTACGTAGCAGTCAAACTCAACCAAAAAAGTCTTCTTCTATTTGCTTTTTGTGTGGTATGGATGTTTATTAGTTTTGTATTGGTTCTCATTTTGTCCCATTCCTCAACTTGACAATTGTCAAATTTCTTTTTAACTTTTTACTCCATTCTGTCCTCTTTACTATTTTTATTACTGTATTTTCTTATCCCAACAACAAAATTTGACCGTAGGATGTTCTTGTCTTTGTGGAATTTAAGGAAAAAAAGTAAGTGTTTATATCCTTAATATTCTCTTTTCCAGTTGTTACCCTGTCATATATTGTTTTTATCCCTTTGTTTCTGGCTTTTTGGGTTAGATTCATGGATGCCACTATAAATGATAAAATCTTGCATTTATTGTAGCTGGCATTTCTTCGCAAATTACTTGGGTGGTTATAGAAATGCTGTAAATTCATCTTTTTTGATAGTACAGTACATTAAAGCCACTCCAATATGAATATTTTTGCTTTACATTTTCACTCGTTGTACTATTTTTTGTGACCCTTTAAAATATGGAAAATGACGTATATAGTGAATAAAAATAGTGACAACACATAGTGACTGATGTAGATTAATCATGGCCCTTAGATTTTTGTCACTTTCTTGTTAAAGTTTTATTTTTCCAAAAAATTATATTTTTACCATTGATTAATAACTAGACATATTTAGTAAGTGTGTAGTGTATGTGTTTTTTCATTTGTCACTATTGAAATTCACTATAATTTTTCATTATCTGTATTATTGCTCTTAAAATATTAATGTTAAGATAAGGTTAATGACTATTTTTTATGGGTAGCTTTTGTGTCTCTTTCCTAGCGCATCTTTCAAAGAAATACTATTATAATGAGTCGGCTGAATCTGCCCGCTAGCTCTATCATTGCAACTTGGATTATTATTAAATTAATATGGTTAAACTAATCACAGTGAAATGATTGAATTAATCTATATAGTTATCTATTAATATTTTCTGAATTTTGGATTTCAAAATAGTGTCCTAAATTATAGCGTTGACTGAACAGTGAAGCTGATTTTGTAGTACGAGAATTGTACATGAGTGAGTGAACAAGAAGAACTATACGTTTTGAGATCAGGAATCAGGAGTTCAGGTAATAAGTTAGGATATGATAAGATTATCTGGTTATGACAAAGAGAAAAATACTAACATTTTATTCTGGAATTATATAGTGATGAATCTATTTGGTATCTATCAAATATCCAGTCTTCAAATTTCAGTTAGAAAAGAAGATCACATTACATTTTTTTTTTTTGGTTACGTAACAATATGAATTAGTCAAATTATCAAGTTAAAAGAAATTCAGGAATTTATGATAAAAAATAAATCATAGAATTTACGTCGATGTTATAATAGTGTTACTGACGTGTAAATTCTTAGTTCTTCTTATCTTCATCAGCATACTGTATTTTATTTCTCTAATTAAGTCAAATTACATCATAATCATTAAGAATTCTTAACCATTTTAAATAATCCGGAATTTAGTGAATATGTCACTTTAAATTACCCACCAAGATGCCCTATATGAATGATACAGTAGCATTTCTTTACTTCTCTAAGCCCCGATTTTTGTTAATTATTTTTTCTACAACAGAAGTACTCTCTCCGTCCTATAATTATTGTTCAGTTTAGGTTTTCATTTCTAGTTTGAATTGTACTAAAAGTGAAATTTCAAATTGGACAATAATTTTGGGACAGAGGAAGTATGATTTTAGGACGGGAAAGTACATTATTTTTTTGGTCAACATTGTTCCCAAGTTCCGGAATTCAGGAGATCAAGTAATATTTTTTCCTAGCAAAAATATTTAATAGTTACGCTAAACAACATATTCAATGTTCCAGCATCACTGGGCCAACACGAAATATCTTTTTCCTCTTTGGCCAGTGTACTAAAGAGTAAAGAAGAGTGGACTTTCAATAGTTTGGAAAAACAAATTCAACAAAGACGATTTTTTTTTTCTCCAAAAAATAATAATAATGACAATATGAGATAAGGACGTTGATGAATAGACGTAGGGTGTTGGATTTTTATTTTTTTTTTGACTTTTTAGCTGTAAGATTATCTCGTATTTATTTAGCTATTCAAATTGAAAGAGACGTTAATATTTTCTTTATTTAAATTTAATTAGAAAAATTGTAAAAATAGATTAAAAATATTTGTCCAACTTTTCTTATTCCAAAATGCTTGTCTCGTTTATTAGTAGTACGGTAAAGGACTCGTAAAAGGCAGTCGTATCGAACAACAGAAGGAAGGAAAAAAAAAAAAAAAGCTCCTTTGGTTCAAAATTATTAGGGGATGATCTATGCATACTACAATTACATCATGAGTTTTGAGTTTTCTTATGGTTCACATTTTTTAATTCCCCATTATTTATTTTATTTTACTTTATCGGAGAATCATGAGATACTAGTACTTGTCCCACGCATTGTATGGGTGTGTAAAATGAGAGGGAAAAAATCGAACCTTTCTTGTAACCATCACCAGTACCGTAATTACTAAACTAAATCGTTCAAACCAAATCAATCAATGCAAATAGTTGAAATTAGCCTATATATGACGTGAGTTGAAAGTTTTTATTCAAACATAAAAGAATCAAAAAACAAAAGAGAAGAAAAGAGGGTAGGATATCAAGTTTAATACCTCCGATAGCGGCGGAGACGACAGAGGGTGACGAGTCATAAATTAACCCTAGGCCTATTGGGCCTAGGATTAGATTACTTGGAGATTAAGCCACCGCCTAAACCTATTCCGTTAGGGTTTCAGAAAACAGGTAACACCACCTCTATATAAAGAGGTGGTGTCTCTCCCATAATTCATATCTTCTACATATCTTCTACACCTCCTGCACACGATACACACAACTCTCTCTATTCTTTATTCCCTTATTGACTAAAGTATCGGAGAGTCTACTCTCGGGAGACCCCCCCAGGCTCTGTCTTGTAGGTTTTAGGCCGTCTGTCGCCTCCTAAATCATCGTCGCCGCCCGTCCTGAGTACCGTGCAGATTCTATGCTTCGTCAGAGGGTATGACAGTAGCGGCGGCGGTAGCAGCGGCAGAGGGCAGTGGCGTAAGAGGCAGAGGAGAGAATTTGAGAGGTAGAAGAAAAGATCTACTTTGGTGAATGATTTTACATTAATCTTATTTATAGAGGAAGAGAAGCGTATTAGAAAAGATTAAATGAATCGTATTAGAGAATATTAGATATTTGAAAGATTTGATTCTGATATATATTTTTCAAACTTAAATATTTTAAATTTTAAAACGTATCGAAGAAGATAATGATCACATTATTTATTTTTTTAGAAATAAATAAGGTAAAACATTAAAATAGTAAAATTGAGATTAACAGAATTACCAAATTACTTTAACCATTTAATAAAACTCAAACGTGAAGGCGACACATGTCCCTAAAAGCTATTAATGGTCTAATTAAGCTGAATTAGCTTTTGCGAACCACTCTTCTTTAAAATATATATATATATATATATATATATATATATATATATATATATGATTTCCCAACTTTTAGCTTGATCCACATTTGATAAGGATAATTCCGTTGCCATAATTTCTTAAGAAAAACAGCGAAGTACTTGGTTTGAGGGTGTGATTCCAGTTCTATGAGTTTGGATGGGTTTGAATTTCAATTTTATTGCTTGGTTAGAAAGTAGGTCTTACCGGGAATGCTTTCAAATCCCAACTTTTAGATTGATCCACATTTGATAAGGATAATTCCGTTGCCATAATTTCTTAAGAAAAACAGCGAAGTACTTGGTTTGAGGGTGTGATTCCAGTTCTATGAGTTTGGATGGGTTTGAATTTCAATTTTATTGCTCGGTTAGAAAGTAGTTCTTACTGGGAATGCTTTCAAATCCAATATTAATAGTGCCTTTTTCCATTCCCTATCTAATTGAGAGGTATGATTCTCTAAATGAATCCCACTCGGAGTACTTTCAAACCCATTTTTATCTGGGTATCGAACTTTCAACCAGGCACCACCTAAACAGTGAACACTAAGTTGTCACCAAAAATTCTTTGAATCTAAGCTAACATCTATCATGGTGTAAAAGCTACGGAAAGGGTAGACAACAATGATTCGGAGTGATTAAGGATGGTACCTTAAAAAAGACATGTGAGTGTATATGCATGTATATTGGGAGGGGGAGAATGATGACCCCTTTTTCTTTTTCTTTTTTTTTTTTTTTTCTGTCTGCAACTAAGGAGGAAAAATTTCCCATTCATACGGTATGGCTAAGCAAAGCATACAGAATAGGAGTCAAGAGGAAAGAAATACGTTAATATTATGTACTTAATTGGTCATGTGAATTGTGTGTGGTTACCAACCTTGAATATTATATACATACGTTTTGGAAATCTAGTGCACGATCCATCACCACAAGGATACATACAATCCAAAAGTAGAAAACGTCCAGATTTGCTTTCTCTACCGAAAAATTTACCTGACTACAATGAAATTAGTCTCATACATCATAATCCTCTCGCACATTTACTACATTTCACTTAATACGCATTTTTAATAGAAAAAACAGCGTTAATACCTAAAATTATGTTCATCGTCAATTCTATCTTATCAATTTTTAATTAATCAATTTTGTCCTTACTGTTTGAAATTTTTATCAATTTCGCCTAATTTGCCCAATTTCCGTTAAATTTAATGGATTTCTGTTAGTTTTTAACCAAAAATACTGTGATACTTTCAAAAAATTATAACAATAACCCCAATATATAAAAATAATAAAATAGTCCCTTTTATTCTTTTATTTTATTTTATTTTATTTCTCTTTACTATTTTTCATAACTAGCAAAATATACTGTATGATCTTTAAAAAAAATTTACTTATTTTCAAACTCTATTTTTGGTGTGCAACACATGTGAGTTGGGTCTAGGGGTAGTTTTGTCATTTTAAATATTTTAAAATTTTAATTATTTTTCACTCGTTATTGATTGAGATTCTTTTTCTTATATTTCTTGACTTGTATATATTGTATAAAAATTACATGTATTTATCTTTATCGTGAAATTCAATAGTTGCTTATGTAGTTTAGTAATCGACAAAAGAAAACAATAATAATTATTAAAAAATAAAAAATATTGTTAACCAAATTTACAAAAATTCATCGTCGTGGAATAATTAAATTAGCACCTTTTCTTGTTTCAAATGATTGTCTAATTTTTATATTAATTTTATTACAACGAACAAAATAATCATTTTAGACTAGATCAAGTAAAATTCATATTTTGTAACTTACCTATAAATTTTTATAGGAAGTCGAGGAGGAAAGACTTGTCTTTGTAGATTTCTTTCTTTTTAGGTTTTTTTTTTCTTTTATTTAGAATGATAAACTGTTAATTTTCATGTTTATTTCAACTTGATAGTTTCAAAAATTGGGCGGAGATCTGTTAAGTTTAACGAAAATTGGGCCAATTGTGCAGAATTGACAAAAATTTCAAACAGTAAGGACAAAATTGACTAACCGAAAATTAAAAGGGTATAATTGGCGATGAGCCCAAAGCTTTGGGTATGAACGCCATTCTTTCCATTTTTAATTAATAAAAAACCTTACAAATATGTCCTAACAATCAAGAGAACACAAAGAGTGTGAAAATATATTTTAAGATTTTTTTGATTAAAAATACATATTAAATTGAAACTTAATATAAATAAAAATGCCTCATATTAAGGACTGGAAGGAGTATGTGTTTTTTTAGAGTCATCTTATAATAATGCTTGTAACAAAAACAAAAGAAAAAAGAAAAAGAGGTACTCCCTCCGTCCCATAATTATTGTCCAGTTTTACTAAAATGAAAGATTTTATTTTTGGTCAAACTTAACTATATTTTACCTTAAACAACCGGATATACCCCTACATAAGTAATTGTTTAACCACTAAGATTTTATGGATAATGTTTTTACTAAGGATAAATGTGTAACTTGATCCATAAAAAGTCAAATTGGACAATAATTTTGGGACGAAATTTTTTAGGCAAAGTGGACAATAATTATGAAACGGAGGGAGTATTACTTTCCAAATTTAGAATCTCGTCGCTTAAAATGATTGTTACAATATAATTTGTATTAAAATTAGAATTTTAAATTGAATCATCGTTTCGAAACAAAAAGAATATTTTTTTTAGCATAAAAATAAATAAGAACTAGAAATTTACAGGAGTCCCTCTCCCTCACCAAATGACGAAGTGAGGACCAAATTCAAAGTTCATTGATACTCCATTTTGCTGTAGGAAAGAAACACACTGTTAGTAGTTGCTTTTGTTAACACTCTAAATGACAGTAGTTTGAGTTATTAGGATTTAAAATAAAAGTTTAAAATAAAAAGTTACAAATTCTGTCATGGTAGGAAATATGTTTCTGTTACCATGAGATTCGTAAATGAATTATTACTGATATAATTATCATTTACTTTTCTAATTTTTTTTTTAATCGATACGAATCGTGTATGTGTCCCTAAAATGAGAAAATGAATTAGTCTATTAATACTCAAATCTTGTTCTACCCCAATATTCTTGGGCCAAAATAACAAGTTTAGCCCAGTCTTGAAAGTTGCATTTTTTTTTTAAAAAAAAAGGAAGGCCTACTAAAAGAACAATGTATATGGACCATGGGCTTAGAAGGAAAAAGTCCAAACAAATTAAATCCTCCCTTAACTTAATTGTTGCCCTCTGCACGTGCACTGGTTAATCTGCAGTATATTTTGATGGCCACACGAGAGAGATGTAAAAATTATTTTGGAGAAGCTGCATGCAGTTGCTGTGCCAATCATTTTCCTGGATGTCAGTAACAAAAAGAGTGTTCCACTCAACAATTAAGGGACGATTTTGACTGTCTACTTCACTTACCCTTCTCGTTTGTGACATTGTACTTAAAAATTTCGGTTTAAAATCAGAAAAATTGAAGCTGGGAAAAGTGTTCTCGTCAGTTCAAGTGGAAGTAAAAATTTTGACTGTCTACTTAATAGTTTTTTTTTCCTTGATACAATAAAAGGAGGCGTGATACCTAATAGTCTAGACTATTACAGAACGTTAGTAAGTACTACCAACTATTAAATACAGAACGTTAGTACTATAGTTAATAGTTATGTTCGTAGACTCGTAGTGATGGTGTAGAGACCAGAGATCATAACTCTTCAGCCAAATTCAGTTGTGTGCAACCTCGTAACTTTACTAAAAGAATTTCTATTAACTGATTACTTCTTTGTCCATCCTCCAAATAAATAATCCATATTAAATTTTTGAACTTCGTATTACAAACCGTATAAGTTTCGAAATTCAACGTAAACTATTTTTTTAAGACTGGAGAGTAACATTCATTATTTATTTACTTTTTTTTTTTTCTGGGTGGGTGTACATTGAGGCACTCGTTAATAATTTTTTCAAGTAAATGATGTCGTAATTCATTTTACCCATAATTTTTTCAAGCAAAATTGATTCAAAGTGGTGTTCACCAGAAGTAAATATGTTAAAAATTTTTATATTTTATTTTCCTGTGGACAAATTAAAATCCAACATTGCTAATTTTATTTTATTTTATTTTTTTTTCTGCTATAGGGTGGGCAAAGGAATGCGATTTGACAATGTAAATATCAACCCCAAAAAAGTCAAACGGACGGAACCCAACTAAAAAAGAATTGGGAAAAAAAAACATGACAAGCACGTGCTCAAACTCACAGCACACCGGTGGCCCCACCTCTCCCCACATCTTCTTGTTCAATTCATCATCTCCTTCTGTTTCCTTCTTTTTTTTTTTTAATAAAATTATCTTCCTTTTCTCATGCTAAATTAACAATTATAATCAGAACAGCAATTACTACCAACCATCAATCAATCAATCTTCCCCATTTCCCCCACTTTCTCATCAGTACTACTATTAATCCAAGTTGCTCTGCTATGGTATTTCTCTGAGAGCTTCACTCGCTCTAGGTTTCCCTTATCATCTCAATCTGCAGGTTTTACTCTCCTCTTCCTGAAACTACTTTCTTCCCAATTATTACTATTATTAATTTCAGTTTTGTATTGAATTAACGAGCGGAATATTTTCTTTTGATGCCTTCATTTGAATTGAATTTGTGTTGTTCTTGGGTTTTTATGCATCAATCATTATCTGAACTGGGTTTTTTTTTTTTTTTTCCTAATGTGTTGGGGGTTGGGTTTTGTTGCTCTTTCTTCTTCTTATATTCCTTCTATTTCCCCTCAAAATAAAAAAGACGAAATCTTGAGACGCGGTTTGTGTAACTGCGACGAGGCAGTTTAATGTTGATGAGTTAATTCCTTTCCATTATATCACTTTGACAGATGTTCTCTTCACATATGTTTCACATGTATTTGTTCTTTAAGCTTTCCCCGGGTTAGCGTATTTATCCCTCAGATCTAATTTTAATTCTTTTTTTTGACCGAGTCTATTGATTACTGGATCTTCGAGTGGGGCAAACATTATTGGAGATGTTTATCTGGGCTGTACCCTTAAAAAATGGATCTTTAGTGACTGTTTTCTTATAGGTTTAGTTAATTCCTAATAATGAGCTCTTTCATTCTGTTGGTTTCCCTGAAATACAGTCACGATTTGCTTCCAAAGTGACCTCTGTTATATGACGGAATACCTTATTCTGTCGGGGAATGATTATGTTTAAAGTTATTTTGCTTCGTAACCTGTGTTCCTAATCCTTACTGTAAGGTAATCTGTGTTTCTAATCCTCACTGTAGAAAGCAAGCATGCTAGTTTATAAGGTAATCTGTCTTTCTAATGCTCACTGTAGAAAACAAGCATGATAGTTTACTTCACTTTCTAATCAGAGAGAAGTTTTCATAGTTTTTTTTTTTTAAAAAAAATTTATTCTCTGATATTCTCAATCTCTTGTTCATTGATATAAGATGTTTTCATGCAGATGTTTTGATGGTTGGTAAAATTTTCTGGAATGTCTCCTCAATAAGAAGGAACCAAAGTTGGTAGGCGTTGGAGGGTGATGCCATATTTGTAGGAGTGCAGTCTATGCACAAATATGGATGAAGATAACCGCTTAGAGCTGAGTTTGGCCCCACCAACAGCTGGTGGTGATAAAACAACAAAGAATAAAGTTGGAAGCTCATCAGATTCTAAGTCAGATATTAGTGACCGAGATACCAAATTGATCAATGAATTTAAACAGTTTCTTGATGGTGGCAACATCCAAATTCATTCTGGGCCAGTGTCTCAGAGGGTTGATTCTTTGAAGCCTGAGAATTTCTTTACCAACCTGCCCAAAAATCCTGATGCTGATACTTCTAAGAGCATCAACACCGGAGCTTTCTGGGCTGTAAACGATAGACCTACTGATGGAGAGGAAAATAGAACAGATACCCGTGAGAAACGCAAAAATGTATTTGGCGAGACAAGTCAACCGAAAAAGCAGGAGAAAGAGAGCGAACATAGTGATTTGCAGGATAAGCCAAGGGTATCTTACATTAGTATTAGTACTGACGCCGGATCAACCGCTGATAATGAAGATGTTGCTGACTCAGAGGCTGAGGCTTCAACTTCTAAGCGGCAGCCCACACAGCAAGATGATGTGACCGAGCGTTATGCTGGAGGGATTCAATCTGATGTTCGTAAAGACTTTCATGGGAATTCTGAGTCAAATGGTGGAGAAGCAGGACATAAGAGGTTTAGCATTTCATCAGAAAAGGATTTGAAGATTGGTGGCATTTCTCATAGTATCCAGTTTCCTACTCAACCTGTGAATATAATGAACATATCTCAGCCACTACCGGGTAAGGATTCTAACTCGAGTAGTGCATCCATCAGAACGAGCTATTCGTTCCCCAATATAATGCAAGCCGTGACTTCTACAAGTGGTGAGAGAATGGGAAGCCAACCTGTTCTTCCTGCAAACGTGCCATTAATGGTTAGCTACTCTTCCGGCCAACTCCCTGCAGTGGATAAAGACAATTCTCGGGTGATGATCTCTCATCAGCAGATTCACCCATCCTTTATCAGTAGCCTTCCAATAAATTCAGGTAAGCGAGGTGATCAGACAGTATAACTAATGGTTCTTCTTTGGATTCTTTTTTCCTGTTTATGAGTTTGAAACTCTTCATTCTGTTGGTTTTTGAGTCTGATTTATGTGTATTCATGGTTTAACCAATTTAGGAAATTGTTCAAACTGAAACTCATAACCCGGTTCCTCTAGAAATGGTCTGACCAATCTAATTTACAAAATTTTGTTAAGTTCGGTGGTTTTCAGGGAGGGAATTGTTAATTAACTTGCCGGAATATGTTTGTCACTTTGGTTAACTGGGCTGAATATTGTTGTCACTTTGGTTAACTGTATGATATTCATATGTGATTTTACATAATATTGACATCTAGTACATATACATATCTCCCTTTCTATTGTTATTTGTGGATAAAGATGAGTTGTGATCATTTTGATCGATGGACAAACTTGTATCAGTGTAATAAATAGGGGTGAAGATAAGCTGTGTTGTGAGTGATCATAACTGAGTATCGAAGTCATTCCAGATCTTTTGTTTTGGTTTTGTTTTTGAACAGTTACATTGTTTCTTAAAGATCAGTAAAACCAAAAACGACTAAACCATTTGGTGTATTCCTCTAGCTAGATTCAAGTCCTAAGGTACTATTTTAATAAACTGAATTGTTCTCCGGGGCATTAATGATTGTAAATGCCTGTCTTCAAAGCCAAGGGTTTTGCAATTTAGAATTTTTGGCAAACTTTTTCATTCTGTTTTCCTTTTTAGGTTAGGTGGGAGAATATGAGAGTTCCTTCAAGGTTTTTTTGGGCATTTTATTGCTGGAATAGGGAGATTCTCAAGAAAAGAATTCGACGTGTTCTATTAATTAAACCTACCTTCTTGTAGATTGGGCTTTATGTGATTCTTTGAAATAGCAGTTTTGACTAAGGGTGCTCAAAAAATAGTTTCAGGACTTGAAGAGAAAACTCTTTATCATGGGTGTCCAAATCAATTTAGGCAATCACTTAGCAGTAATCTGAATGATTAGAAGATGTTTGGTTCCTCATTTAAATGACAAGGAGATGTTTGGTTTCTAATTGTTATGAATACACGACTATTCAACTTTCAAGGTAGAACCACGTTCAAGTTGGACCTGGATTAGAAGCGAACTTTCTGCGGTTTTTGTATAGGTTTTCACTGGGTAGCTATATTGATAACTTTCCTGTTGCCGAACTTTTTCAATGTTTGAAGTGGGTTTGGGGGTTCAGAAATGAGACAACTACTGACTAGTTTGTTAATGACTGGAGTTACTATGCATATAAACCGCCTGTTAATTATTAATGTCTCCTTTTTTAGGTAAATCAAATAATCATGAATGTTAACTTGTTCTTGTTTGAATGGCTGATAAATGATAGTGTAATTAATTGGATAATTTGGTTGTTGTAGCCTTGTGCCCTGTAATTCAGTCTTGATATGGAAGTATGGTACACTAGGTATTAGTGAACACCAGATAACCATGGATGAGCCTTTCATCAAAATGAAGTTCCTTAGTCGTATTTTAAGTAAGCACAATAATCCAGAATGTATCACTTACGACAACGTTTCTACTCAGTCTTGTTCCAAGGGACTGGAATTATTTATCATCATAAGTCTCTTACATGTTATATTGCAGTTAGATTCTTGGTCCTACTTATATCTGTTGGTTTTTGTGCAGTTATTCCCCAAAAGTCGTCCGACTCCAAGCAACATGAGGGCAAGGCACTAGATCATCATTTAGCAAATGGGCAACTGCTTTCAGCAGGAACCTCTTCTCTCAGAGAAGATAATGGAAAGTTAACGAATTCGTCATCATTCAGGTCCAGAGATGTATCTGATCTGCCCAGAACGGAAGGTATTCCTTCTGAATATTCCACTATAAAGCCAGGTATTGCCGCCGACTTGAAGTTCGGTGGTTCTGGTTCCTACCCGAATCTACCATGGGTGTCAACAACTTCTCCTGGGCCAAATGGCCGAACCATATCAGGGGTGACATACAGGTTCAGTCCAACGCAGATAAAGATCGTCTGTGCTTGCCACGGTGTGCACATGTCGCCTGAGGAGTTTGTTCGCCATGCAAGTGAAGAACCATCTAATATGGATCCCGGGACAGGAGTATTATCGACAAGTAACCCTGCAACCTCGGCTCAAAGCTGATTTTGAACAGGTTATTGTCCGTGTTAGTTAACTTTCTGCTTTTAAGATATAGTTGAGCTATGATTCTATTTTGATTAGATGCAAGAAGGAAAATAAAGTTTCCAGAAATCCTATGGTTTCCACGCTCATATGATCCTAGCATTTTTAGATATTTTGATTGTCAGTGTCCCTTTTATAGCTGCAGCAAATGATATGTAATTGGTGATCTTGGTAAAGTGCATCACTTAGAATGTAAGAAGCGCCGATTGTATGTATTATAAAGAAATCCCTAAACATAAAGGGGTTCTTTATATTAGTCAGAATAGTTGATTACGTTTTGTTGCTATAAAAACAAAGATGTAAAGTGCAGTTGCGAAAGGATGATGTTCCTCTCCTTAAACCATCATATCATTCTTCGAAATCCCTGTCTTAAACATGGGAAAAGTTTATGTTCCTCGACTAGTTACCGCTCTTGGGGGTGCTCCTGAAGATACACAACAAACTGGACATTATAACATTTACCAAAGCCTGAAGGAGTCCATGTGGAATTGTCACATTTAATTGATGTTTCTTTTTATACCCTACACCATGAAAAACAGTTCATCTAGATCTAAGCTACAAGAATGAAGAAACAACAATTAATGCAAAATATTGCTTACTGCCTTATTTGTGTTTTCATGAAACTATATAGTCATATCGTGGTAGGATCATACCAAAAAAAAAAAGAAAAAGAAAGATAATTGAGATCCTGGGAACACTGGCAAATTGGGTTTATTTTCAAGAATTTGTCTTTTGCATCATTTTTCTTAAATGAAATTGTATTATGTTTTCCGTTCTAAATACCAGATTATGCTAACAGAATTCATTATTGGGCGCAACAATATAATAATTTATCAATTAGTGGTTGGTTTCCCCCACACACACACACACATATTTACCTCAAAGTAGGGATGTAAACAATTTGAACATCACGTTGACAAAATTATGCAAAAGATAACCCTAATAATAATTTCAGCTATCTCACGCAGAATATATTCAATTAAACTGTAGCTTAGCCAACTAAACACGGTATGTTTGTTTCTTTTTTATAACACTCAGGATATGCTTCTTGCGTCAAATACCCTTGGCGTTGCTGAGACCTTTGACGAGGTGCTCAATGGCGCTTGGTAGGGGAATCTCATTCAGATTAAGGACCTCTCCAAACTGACCATCAACTTTTGTCAGATGTCGCGGATGAGATTGCTCCCGTGTGAGAACGAACCAAGAAGCCTACTTTGGCCGGGTGCTCATCCAGGCTTGAGAATATAGCAAGAAACTCGCGAAAGCTACCAGAAATGGACGCCAATCGGCCCTTAATTGGGTAATAACATAGGTTACAAGTACAAATCCTACCCAACCCGAGAAGGTAATAAAGAAAAAAATCCATCTAGTTTCAGCCGACTAGAAAAAGGTACAGAACCCTTCCAAATACAAACAAGTATGGGAGGTGAAATCATACATGAGTTTCAAACCGGCAACAATAAACAATTGCTAGTGTCTTGTGGGTTTGGTGGAGAAAAAAATTTGAAGAGAGCTGAAATTATGGGCTAAAGAGGCAGTGTTGTGATTACCACCTGAATGAGAATGATGAAGTTGAAGTCCTGAGTGGAAAGAAGAAGAATATAAAGCCATGTATTTCCATGAATGAATGAATGAAGTTAGTTGCCATTATTATTTCATCATAGGTTGGTTGGTAGTTGCTATGTACTTGGCGGAACTTAATGAAAAAGAGCAGATGAAATTTATTGAACTGACATTAATCTCCGTCTTTTGACGGCCTTTTGTACAGGGTAAGTCTTAAGCGCTGTTCTGAAATTATTTTCTGATATTAATAAAAATCCCAGGTACTGACCTGGTTTAATAAAAAAAAAAAAGTCACTCTTCAGTAGCTTTCATTTGGAGCTGAGATTTTTAGAAGCTTGATTGAAATAATTTAATCAAATACTACTACGTCTTCTTTTTGCCTAAGAAATTTCACATTATTGCTACGACATTATATACATATATGTATATATTTTTTAATTTTTAACAAAATAGATTATTAAGTATTATCATTATTGTTGGACGATATGTTTCACAAGTCGCCTTTGCTTCTTATTATCAGTGATATGAGCATAAGAAATCACCATGATTCCTCTTAGTTTGAGATATATTATCTTTGTCTAAAAAAAAAATAATCTGCATTAATTATATTTTTAACTTTGAAATGTTTTTAGTGTAAAAATTCAAAACTCAATGCGAATTTTTTTTTTTGGACAGTGGATTCTAAAGGAGTAACTAGTTGAAGAATGAAAACTGTCTAGGGACAATGAAGGTGTCTCTATAATTAATAATAATCATGCCAATTTGAGCTTATTTTGTCGGGCATATATTTTTTTCATAATTAGTACAAGTTGAAAACATTTTATTCAATAACTCTCTTCGTGTTTGTTATTAAGAAGGCTTGATAACGCTCCTTCTGACGTAATGTGTGAAAGGGATCATCAAAGATTCATGCTTATTTATTATTTAAATAGGATTTTTTAGTCATTTTCTACGAAGATAAATTTAAGGCAAACAAAAAGAAGAGAAATGAACAAGGATATATATATATATATAATTAATTAATTTCATTTTCTTATGTGTCTATCATGTTTTGAGCTGTGGAGGCGTCGCAGATGATGTATAATTGTATATATATATATTCCATGTGCATCTTTAGGAAAAACTGCCGGATTTTGTGTTTTTCGCTTCCTTCACCTCTTCTTTTCCCACACCGTCTACAAGAACCAACTACTCAAATTATTCCCTATGCCTTCTTTTGTTTTTTGGACGTTTTCATTTAAGACGAGACAAAATTCAAGATTTAAGTTGTGATTTTGTGCCTGTTTTTTTCACACTGAACAACGAGATGAAATCAATTGAGCGTAACATTGCAATTGCAGGATCGTATATTTATATAGTTCATTGTTCACGTATAATGTAACATTGAAAATATCGTATTACTCTTTCTGTCTCGGATATTGTCCAGTTTAAATTTCAACTTTAGTTTAAATTATACTAAAAATCATTTTACAACAGAGAGAATATATAACTTTTTATTCCAATGTCGTGTTTATTTTGGAAAAATCCGGACCTTGTAACAAGTTCTTCATCTCCATGTCGTTCAATTTACAAAATCCGTGTACATATTTGCCCTTTTCTCTCCCTTTAGATTTAAGAAATGAATGCAATGATAGGAAGCGGAAAAATGGATATGCTAGAAACGTTTACGTGCTGAAATTCTTCATAAACCAAATCAAATCAATACAAGAACTTCACATGGCTTCGTCAAAACAGTTCATTTAGCTGGCTGCTTCATGGGTTTTTGACATGATTTATGATTGAAAGGTTTTGTTTATTGTTTGACCAATCGCTCAAATCATTTGGTTTATTTCCTTGCTGAGACTTCATTCGGTGGAAGGGTAATTTGGTGCAATATTCAATAGGAACGACCAAACTTATAGTATTTCGTTTTCACCAAAATAAAAAAGTAAATTAAATTAAATTCGTTATTCAATTAATGGATTTTGATGGCATTTTTAAATCATCATAACCGAGTATCCCACTAGTATTAAATTGTGACAGAACACGATATAATAAACGTTATTCATTCACGAAATGTGGTCTAAGAATTTGGCAAAACCTACTTCATTGTACCGTAAGAGGAAAAAAAGGCCCAAGTAATTTACAACTTGATTTTTACGGCATTCTCATAGTCATTGCCTATTGATGCAACATGGTTTGACTTTTTGTTGGAACTAGCCTACATATATTATTACCGTTTTCGGAAGTGATATATGGCAATTAGTATTTCACTATTTCGACAGGAAAATTATATAGTAGTGAAAAGAATATTATCTTCAAAAAAAAAAAAAAGATAATTATTTATTTTTTTTAAAGAGAAAATTCGCCCCTTTTTTAAGCGGACAACATTTTTTTTTTGTTTTTTTTGGGGGGAGGGGATTATGAGATATTTATTTATTTTTTTTTATCAAATATAAGAGATATTTATTAACACAGATCAAATATAAGAGAATTTTCAACAATGTCAAATAGGTAACTGAAAATATATTACAACTGCCACAATTCAATTGAAACATCGTGATATATATAGCTTATAGACCGCAAAATGTCATCGACTGACACATATCACATTCAGGTTATTTCTCATTTCAGCTAGCTGCGAATTAATCCATTCCAAAAAAAAAAAAAACCGGTGGTACATCTGGATAAGAAGTTGATTTTCTAACTTGGCTGCTTGGCATATAGTTGAGCAGTTAAATTTTCCCCGTAGTACACCTCAACATAATCCAAACCACAAAAGATCAGTTCCATCACTCTGAATTTGAAAAAGATGCTGGATTAAGCATCAAATCAATTTCAGATGATAGATACAAAGATAAATAAATTAAAAAAAAAAACAATCATATTTGATGAAGAAGGTGATATATGTGTTTGCTGGGCCTGTAATATTATGTCAATGAAGTCATAGGTTTTGAATACATGCAAAAATATTAGTCCAACTTGTGGCCATCCCCACTTCTCCATCGCTTTCCCCAGCTTGTATTCTTGCTCATTTATATAAAATTCAAACAAAAAAAAAAAAACAATTCCTCAAATTGGGCATATATATACAAATTGAATTGATCATCATCCAGAAGTTTACAAATACTTATATATGAAGAAAGATTATGCTTAACAAACCAATGTCAAACTAAAAACCTTTTAGCAAAAATTCTTCCAGCTGCCTCTATGAAGATTCTACTTAATCTTTTGGCAGAGTATGGAAGCCTGAAAAAGTTTCAAAGTTTCAATCTTTTTTGTGCTCTGTTTCTTCAGTTCATTTTATTCTTCCCAGTTAAAGCAGACTCACAATCATCCACCCCAAAAGCATCTGATTTAGCTTCTTCACAAGATGTTGTCAGCAATTTCCAGCCAAGCTTAGCTGTTGTGATTGGCATCCTTGCTATCATGTTTTCTTTGACTTTCATCCTTCTGCTTTATGCCAAGTTCTGCAGGAATGTCAACTCCTCTGGCTCTGTTCATAATCACCATATCTTTGATGGGTTGCCTCGTTCAAGGTCTCGCTTTTCGGGGATCGACAAAACTGTCATTGAATCTCTTCCTCTGTTTCGATTCTCTTCTTTGAAAGGGTCAAGAGAAGGGCTTGAATGCGCAATTTGTTTGTCCAAATTTGAAGATATTGAAATTCTTAGATTGTTGCCCAAATGCAAGCATGCTTTCCACATAAACTGTCTTGATCAGTGGCTTGAGAAGCATTCAAGTTGTCCTCTTTGCAGGTTTAAAGTCAGCCCAGATGATCTTTCAACCTTCACTTATTCCAACAGCTTGAGATTCTTGTGGAATCAACAGGAATTGACACAGGAATCGTCCAATTTAGAGCTGTATATCCAAAGGGAAGAAAGTCACAGGGGTTCTTCAAGATTTAGTGCTATTTTTGCAGAAAGTTTTAGGAAGTCAGAGAAAGACAAGAAGGAAGATGAATTGCCTATTCAACAACAACAGAGTGGTGATGATGATGGTGATGATGGAGAAGGGAAAGTGTTGCATAAGTTCAACCACAAGATTATTGTGTCTGATTCTGTTCTGATGAAGAATAGGTGGAGCAATGTTAGTTCCTCTGACCTAATGTTCTTGAAATCAGAAATGTTGAATGAAGAATCAAGCAGCAGATTCTCTGCTTTGGAATCAAGTAATGATGGCAGTAAACAATGCAGTACTCCAACAAGGATGATTGGAGATGGTGAAGCTATGAATATCAAGGAAGAAATGGAAAGGAAAAGAGAATTTGAAATCAAGTTGAGCAAACTCCATCAAAATGACTCCTTTTTTCCACCATTAACAAATCATTCAAAAGCATCAGATTCTCAAAGGAATTCAAAAATGAATCCATCCCATGTACTAAATCCCTCAGAGAAGAGATCCATGTCAGAGATTGTGGTCCATCCTAGATTTTCGACAGAGTTCGAGATCAACCGGCCGGGAAATATCAACTTTGATGACAACAGAGGAGGTAATCTTGCAGAAAACAGTGTCAAGGAAGAAAAAATGAGGAGACTTTGGCTGCCAATTGCAAGAAGAACAGTACAATGGTTTGCAAACAGAGAAAGAAGCTCAACCCAACAGCCTCAATACAGAAGAGAGTCATTAAATGTGTAAATATCTTTGAAATGATGTTCTTGAATCCATGGAAATGAACTCTCTTCCGTAGATGACACTTCCAAGTTCATTTTGATAGTTTTTACTGTTAGAGATCAAAACCGGTTTTACTACAGATACATACAAGACTACTTTTTGTACATGAATTATGGAGATTTTACTGATATCCAAATCAAAGTTGGACTCTGTTTCTACTACATTTTGGAGCTTTCTTGCTTAGATTAATAATGGGATTTTGACCTTTTGATTCCTTTTGTAATTCTTGTTAGATACAGTTTTAGCATTATTCAATCACGAGTTTGTTGTTTGCTCGTGTTCTTTGATTATTGAATTTGCATTATTGTTTAGAAGTAATAATCAAGTAACAAAAGCTCAAGGAGCCATCCTGGTTGGTCCTCTGGTTCCTTGAACCAAACCACTATTTACTTCCGAATTCATAATAATAATAATACTCTTCTTTATAGGAATCTCTTTGGATTCTTCATTGATGATCAACTTGTTGAGTGAATAAGTTGGAAAATACAAATTTCTTTTTTATTTTTTTTAAATTTTTAATGGCTTGAAGCCTGGAATCTTTTTCTTCATCATCTAATTTTTTATATGCTTCTGAATACTCACAAAAAAAGCTTAATTAGCGCATTTGAAAATTTATGGAAAAGCACTTCCTCGATAATTATTTCCCCCTTGCCACCTAACGATCTTGGAAGCTTTCTTTTCGTGACGTTAGTATGTCTTTAATTTAAAAAATAAAAATAAAAAGAAGGGGACATTGCATTTTAATGAAATCTAAAATGCGCATTTAGTGAAATTCGAAACTCTATTTAAATGGACAACTTATTATGTCAGTAAATTTGCAAACAACTCCTTTGAAGTATGTAAACGGTTGCAGAAGAAGAAATAACTTTCTGAATTTTCAATTGAGTGCTACAATACCGCCATGTTGACATATATTGGGGATAGATAAAATTGCACCAAAACCTATTTGGTTTTGTAACATTGATGGATACTTTGAAACGCAAGTTATATTTGCATCCTAACAAGAAAGTATAATAATGAATATAATCGCTAATCTTATTAACATAACCTAACAATTGAACTCTTAGATGGACGACCTTTGAATTTAAGTTGTGTTGTATTAAAATTTTTTCCTAATGATATATGGTCAAAAATATGGCAAGTTACTGCAGTTTAAATTTGTGAAGGGTTAAAAGGAGAAATAAACAAAATTATGAAGGTTTTTGTTTTTTTTGACGCATAATTACAAACATTTAAACTATTATACGTGGGTGGCGTCTGTGCAAAAGGGTAGTACCACCTCAATATAAGTTTTTTAGCATTGCATTGTTTTTTTGGTTAAATGTAGGCACTTTTAGGGGGTAATTCGCAATGAATGCTAAGACGTATTAAAAAAAAAACTCAAATATCATGACTTGAATTATCTAGTTTCAGTTTGGTGAAGACTAATTCAAAAGAAAAAAAAAAATGATAACTTCATTCCATTTACAAAGTCTTCCCGTTTGAAGCCTATTAGATAATGAAATTTTCTTTTTATTGTTGAGTTTTAGGTCAACTAATCCCTTCAATAAAGAAAGGAAATACAAACCGGTCAGGGGTCCCATCGTTATTAGTTATTTCCACGACCAAATTGTAAATAAATTTTTGTGATAAGCTTACATTAATTAAGGTTTAAATTTAATGTTGAACAGAAGGACATGGCGTGATGGTAGAAGTAACGTAAGGGATGAGTCCATTTGGTTTGTCTCTATTTGTAATTAAGAAATAAAAAAAAAAAAGTTCACCAAATATGCATGCTTCACACGATCCATGTATCTTTGCATATACCATTCCCTTTTGATGTTTTGTTTTAAGGATTGGAACAGTGGTTTTGGTCACTTTCTAATTATAGACGGATGTCAACTAGCTAGATATAAAAATATTCTATTTCTTTCACTATCTGTTCCGTCCCCCAAAAAAATAGTAGTACACATTGAGTTTTGATAGTATAAAACTTAAAATTCAACGTGAAATGGTTTTTTTTTGGGGCAGAAGTAGTGCAATAATAATCTGAATTTTATTATTTTCTATTTGTCAAAATTTTAAATTAAATACAAGATCGATACATCATCTTAGAATTTAGAATCAGGATGAAATTGATAAATGACTGTAATACTTTATGTGATTCATAATGAGTACAATCATGGGATGGAGAGAGTACTCTCTCCAAGAACGAAATAATAAAAAAATATTTTCTAAAATAGAAATACTTCAACAATATTGATATCGGTTTTTAATTATTATGAAACGAAAAAAGTCTAAGAATACTACTGACAGTATACGTAGTTAAAGTATTTTACAAAGACGACAATCAGCAGCCATGCGTCTCTAGAGTACATTTTATCGATGAATTATAACTGCATGTGTTGTACAATTAATTAAAAGTCAGAAGTTAGAAGTTCTCATCGATCATCCCCAGCAATGAAGTTAGGGAATCGAATAATGTAAAATTTAAATGGCGTTTTGATAAAGTCGTTACTGGTTTGAACATTATTAAAAGGAGAAGCTTTGAATGATAATTATTATAGGTTAGTTATTATTAATTAGTATCCTTCCATCAAATTTATTTACCTAATAATTATATTTTGTGGGTTCAATTCAATCACACATGGTTCTGTTATTAAACTGTACGGTATGAATTAACTAATTAAAGGACTAATGCCTAAAGGATCTGTTTACCCACAACACATATGTAAGGTTTAGGTCACACCTTAGAATTTGGTTAGAATTGAATGTTTAAAATTATTTGTTCATTTTAGTTAAAAGATTGAACTCATTAGTGGTTGGTAGCTTGTTACTACGTAGCACTATGTAATCTTGTGTTGAGGAGAATTTCCTTTTCTTATTTGAGCATTTCTAAATAATTCAAACAATTATTTTTTTAGACGAGAAAAATAGCTCAAAATGATTATATCTTATCGCGTTTTAAGTAGTTATTAACATATAAATAACACAAGACACTATGATAGATACACTACAACACAAAATTGTTGGAACTAATTCTTCCGCCAATTCATCGCAGGCTGCATGCGGGCATGCATAATTAATGAACAAATTGACATGCAACAAGGGTCTGGAAATATTTCTTCCCCAATTCGTTGAATCAAACTACGATTCTGTTCAAATTATCATTTCGGATTCTGGGATTCAGATGCTATCAATTTTCTTTTTTCAGATTAAAAAATAACATAATGTTGAAAGGGAGCTTTAAATTTAGAAGGGTACGTATCATATATATGCATAATGCATGCACTGAAATTTGTAGCTAAGAATACTAATCTTTAAATTCCACCATTCTCAAATTAAACTGAAGTCCTTGCCCAACTTGCATAAACAACATGTATTTCGTTGGATGTTGCTTCCTCCTGTCATATAGCACGTCTTGAACGCTTTGTTTACATGATGATCGATGATTTCAATTCCTGAACCGGAAAACAAGCGGGAAACCAGTCGGGTTTTTTTTTTTTTTTTTTTTGGTGCAAGAATCGGTCTTATTTTTTCAGTTAAAATAATTAAAATTACTAAGTGTTTTAATATAACCTTGTGTCAAATACATTAACCTCCTCATTTTCGTTAGAAAACAGTAAAAAACATCATGTCCTCACATTTGTTACTTATAAACAGAGGCGGAAAGAGTATGTTACTGCAAAACCTAATTTTGACATCCAAGAAACAAAAATAGTCGATCCACTAGATTAATAATTTCTACTTCCGTGTCAAAATAATACAACTAAAAATAAATGTTTCGAACGAGATGAGTGAGAATTTTGTCTTTGATTACATCAAATTTGGAGGCAGTTAAATTTGTGAAAGTATATAATCTGTCTCACATCACCACCGTGAAGAGAAGTTACTTACTATATAAGTGCCGAATGACACCCCACTCATTGCCAATTAGTTTTGAGATGAGAGCCTAAAATACTTATATACTTTGACTTGGTATCAGAGTGTGCTGGGCCTGTGTGATGTTTTGGGCCAGAGGTGGCCTGTGGTGATTTTATATTCTCGCACTTGAGCGTTGACTCGTGGGTATGTTGTGAACTGATCCAACAGTATAACTGGTTTTTCTCCCACTTAAGCGTTGATTCGTGGGCTTATTGTGGACCGATCCAGCGATATAACTGGCTTTCTCCCACTTGAGCGTTTACTCGTGGGCTATTCTATTCTTATCCTGATCCAAGTCCATTAGGCAAAATGTTCAAATACCCATTGAACTTGAGAAAGGGTGTTAAAGTGTATAATATGTCATACATCGCCACTGTGAAAAGAAGTGAACTTGAGAAAGAGTGTTAAAGTGTATAATATGTCATACATTGCCACTGTGAAGAGAAGTGACTCAGTATATAACTGTCGAAGGTCATCCCACTCATTGTCAATTGGTTTTGAGATGGGAGGTAAAAGTACTTATATACTTTAACAAAATTTCATAATATCGGCCTAACAAGATCCAATAAATAAATCCGGGGTCTCATCAGCCATTTTCATGACCATTTCATCCTAATATTTTCTCTGATGAGATGAGATGGAGCGTATATACATTGACATTACCATGGCAGATAACTTCTTAAGACTATTTTACCCCTTTTTTAGTTGAAAATTTACAAAATATTAATAAGTAATTAATGACAGATTCGTCATACCTGACTATACTTGGTTCGTAAGAAACATCTTTTTTTGAAGAAAGTAATTAAGAAACATCTTTGTTTCTTCAGAAAATTTCTAATGTAAATTTCTTAGTTGGTCTTCTTCGTGATTGTGACGAATAGAAAGCTAAATTATACAATTGCACACAGCCGGCAGCCCTAATTTTTATTTACTTGTATTTCTCTCTGTCAAAAAACAAAAGTTTTACATTTATAGTTTTGTGAACTACTACTTCTTCTCAGCTATGGTTTAAAGTTTAAACATAGAGAAACAACATCATGCAATTGCTGTTTTCCCCCCTTGTGTGTTAACATCTCCGATTTTCTGCCCACATCTAGTTTATATTTCCGTTGATCTACAACAATTATCATGTTTGATTTTTTTTTAATTTTTAATATAATTTGTACTGAAACTAAAAAGTTAAATCGGACAATCATCTCAGGATGGACGGAGTATTAGAAATTCTTGCATTCAATCGATCGAACTCTGGGAAAATTTCTAAACGTATTTTCGTGATTACAATTTTAAAGGGTTATTGTCTCCTTTAAATAGGAAGAGAAAATTAGTAGTGCAA